TATGTACTGTATTATCTCTAGCATGTGCTAACATAACATGAGCCGTGATGTTCGATTTGCAAAACATGACTTTTATGAACCAGTTCTTTTTAATGAGTCAGTCAAAACGATTCACAAAAAAAGCTCTCAATCTGTGAGTTAGGTTAGAGAGACTCGCTTAGTCAATGAACCATTCAAAGCAGTTACCGAGGAGTACTGTTATAGGAATAGATCACCTCACCTTCAAGTCATTCTTCGATCTTCGAAACACAAATGTAGATATTTTTAATGAAACCTGAGAGATTTCTGTCCCTCCATTGGAAATCCATTCTACCAAAACTTTGTCAGGTAGTTCATCGATTGCTTTAGTTTATTTGATAAACAGATATAATTTAGGTTTTTATTCGCATATAAACAGTGATTTAATGCAGAGCAAATAAAAAATTGTCGAAGTGCCAGAATTGATTAAACTGCTTGATTCATATGGATTTATTTTACTATCTTTTTATGAAATTGTTTATCGTTTTGTTGGAATAGACTGCTCTCAGTGGAGGCCTCTCAGGTTGCATAAAAATTTTTAATTTGTGTTTCGAAGATGAATGAAAGTCATGGCTTTGGAACGACATGAGGGTGAATAAGTGATGACTGAATTTTCATTTTTGGGTGAGCTCTGGAAGCTGAACTGAAGCATTTCTTAAAAAAAATTTAAAAAAATAAATAAATAAATTTGAGCGATTCCATAATTTACCAACAAACTTAAAATTTGGTCTCCCCTCGTCTTTTTTTAGCTTTATATTGTGTGCATTTAATGTGTAATAAATAGGTTTCATCTAAAACGTTATAATTTCATTTACAATTAAATATTGATGAATGCAGTATTGTTTAACATAGGCTACTGATGAAATTTAATGTTGAATACTCAAATCTAGACATCACAGGTAATTGGTCATGTATTGAGTTTGTTTGTCTCTGATGGTTAATTGCCCTGTTTATTGCCTCTGTTTGTCTTGGCATTAGTAAACATTATCTCAGTGGGGTGCCGCCACATCTGACTATTCATGAGCGCGTTACACGTCAAGCCTGACACTCTTACAGTGACTCACCAGCCACAACAAATGAAGGTAAAGGCTTTCTGCCCACAGATTCAATGGACTAGCCTACCTTGCTGCACTTTTTTGTGTGCTCCTTAGAAGACAAAAAGACTGCTATTTATAGCTTAATCTAGTGTTAGATCAGGAGTGAGTTTCAAATCAAACTCAACACTTTAAATAATTCCAGTTGATATTTTTAGTAACATTTCTCTCACCTGATCAGTCTTTCTGTCCTCTTTGTTTTCGGGCCTCAGGTACTAACATTACTATTTGTTAGCGTTTACATCAATCACAGACGCCAGCGTTGCGGCTTCTCCTCCTGATCTATATGACTTTATGTTGCCCTCTGAAACAGCCCAGCTCTGTGTGAAAAGGTAATAAAAAAATCACTTCACACACAATAACTCACAGGGCTTCTTTTGCGCTGGAGGCTCGGTTCGGGGAATGCTTTCATTAATCATGAAGCCCGGTATGGACTCTAGCACCGCTGCTCCTACTGAACATACATAACTGTCCTGGCAGGAAGAGCGATCGCTGGCCCTTCGCTCGGGCATAGGGCTAAAAACATCACGACCCGCTGCATGCTGGGAGTTTTTGTGAATGATGGGACCCAGCTGAAATGTCCATCAGAGAATGTATGTGGCATTTGAATAGAAAGAAAACAAGAAGTGTGACTGACTTAAGCAAAGAGCGGTGTATTCTTGTCTGGCTGGTCTTCAGTTCGTAGCACACGAGCCATAAGTGCCCCAGAGGTCCTTAAATATTGCATTATCCAATATTTCACAACAGGCCATGTTTTCTTTTGTGTCTTGTAATGATTCATATTAAGTCCAAGAACATTCAGTATCATAAAGACAAGAGTTTTGCAGTGATCCATGCTTATGCTGTTGTTTGCTTTATGAGCTCATTGTTTGTATATTTTTTCTGACAATTGTTAGAGACAGGTCTATAGCGTTAATATATGCAAAATAATATTATAATGTCATATGGAATATGATGAAAAATTGTCATCATCTAACAATATAACAGACAAATTCTAGACATTTATTTTCCTTTTCCTCTAACTAACCCACACACATTTTCTGTATTTTAGGGCTCTGAAATTACACTACTGTTGAAAAGCTCACCAAGGCCGCATTTATTTGATAAAAAATACAGTAACATTGTGAAATATTTTTAAAATGTAAAATCTGTTTTCTATTTTAATGTTTTAAAATGTTATTAATTTCTTGGATGGATAAGCTGAATTTTCAGCAGCCATTACTCCAGTCTTCAGTGCCACATGATCCTTCAGAAATCATTCTGATATGCAGATTTGGTGCATTCTTTTGGAACATTTGGTACTTGGGACATTTCTTATTATTAACAATGTTAGAAATAGTTGTGCTGCTTTATATTTTTGTAAAAATTGTCATTTTCTCATGATTTTTGATGAATAGAAAGTTCAAAAGAACAGCATTTATTACAGAAAACCACACTGGCATTGATTTTGGCAAAAGTCAGCTAAAATGTTCAGCTCTTCTCAGGTCCAGAGCAAGTTTGTGTGTTTTTTTTGTTGTTTTTTTTGCACAGTTTATGCAATTACACTGTTTGTTGGTAAAAGCAATGTTTTTGTATATTACCTTTCACATTTTTTCTGCTCTTTCATTTATTGTTTTGTTTCATAATTGTTTTACCATTAACATATAAGGAACTGTATCTCCTTTTTTGTACTTTTAAAGTTTTTATTTCTTTATATTTTTATTTGTATCATTTATTATTTATTTATATATTAATATATATATATATATTGTGTGTGTGTTAATTTGTCCACTTTCCAGTCATTGTACTCTATTGGACATCATGATTAATGCCCAGAGTGAGTGTAATGTAATTTGGGTGAATGATTGCACCGGATTGCAAAATTTGACCATTGGAATGTACTGTAATTGCCCCTGATACCTTCAAAACAAATATACAAATAAAAAAAACTCAAGAACTACAGTTACATATTACCTCTGACAGTGACGCGACATGTCTGACGTGTGCTATTTCCTTTGGTACAGCACCAGTTGGACGCGTGGGTTGAGAAAACTGAATAAACCTTCCAAAAGAAATACATACTAAATGTGTGTACTTGCTTGCTGTAATTATAAAGACCACATTGTGCTTGAATGCAGAGTAGGGCCAAACGTCTGGAGGACAGCCATTCATAATCAAGGCATGAATTGTCGGACAAGAGGCATCGCATCACTTTCCACACAAAGTCCTGTGTGTTTTGTTTTTGTTTTTGTCGTTGCACTTGCCAGCTTATCTTAGAAATGTCTTTCACAAAATTCATGCCTGCTGTGTGCAAGCCAGATTGTTTTTATTCGTTATGTGTACTTTATGATGGTTAGTGAGATCCTTTTATTTTACTAAACTATGAGCGCAAACGTAAATATGACCAAATAAATTTTCAGTACAATCTAATCACAATAACGCAATCTTATTTGCTTCGCGTCGTCCCTAACAACGCCCCTTAGCTTTTATAAATTCACTGTAAACCATGGCTTCTTGGGGCGTATTGCTTTAATATTAAACGCATAGGTAAATTTTTGTAATCAATGTCTTTAGTGCTTTAAAATTAGATTTTTTTTTTTTCCTCACAACTGCAGGTCTGGAGTGTTGGGCAGCAGAGAGATCCGTCTCTTTCACGTGTCTCACTCCCCCAAGCGTGTGAGGGTCTTTATTAATGAGCGTGGCTCACCCAGAGGGTCAAACCCATTCGGCCTGCTGATGGATCTCATCTGCAGCAGAGTGTGCTGGGATCTTCTGCCTCACATGTGCTGCACCATCAGTCTCACAGTGAAGATGTGGATCCAGAAAAATGATGGACCAGTGACCGAGAGATACAGAGATTACAATGCAAGTATAAAAACACAAATATTAACAAAGGTTCATATCACAACAGTCAATACAAAATACTGAGAATAAGTAATACATAAGCTTTTATCAAGTAAATCGTAGAATAAAAAAACACTAAAGATTAGTTGTTTTTTAACTCATTACATAAACATATGTAAATCTCAAATGATTATATTTACTTTTAGATTAAGATATTCTTCTAATTCATTTTTAGAATATGCATCCCTGTGTTATTTGTAATAAATACTGGTATTTACTGGGTATATACAAATTAAGAGTTTACTGTTAATCCAGCAGTTAAGAAACTTGATAAAGTTGTGTTTATCTCAAAAGGAGAAATATGTAGGTAAGTGTCAGCAGAGGAGTCAATATTATATGGTCAATCATAAATCAGAATATTTTTAAACGCTGCTTATTTTGTCGATTTACTCAAACATATGGATTTAAGATCATAACTTCATTTAAATAATTAAATGAAGGGGGGGGGGGGTCACAGTTTCAACAAAACTATTTTTTACCATTGAAAATAATAGAAAAAATAAATGTTTCTTGAACACTAAATCAGCATATTAGAATAATTTCTGTAAGATCATGTGACACTTAAGGCTGAATGGCTGCAAAATTCAGCTTTGCCATCACAGGAATAAATTACATTTTTATAATATATCAAAACAATGGACCTAAGAGAGTGAAAAAAATTAGAAACACATACAGTAAACTGTAATTTTAATGAACTTTTATTACCATAAAATAAACAATTGCTCCTCTGCATGTGGCACTGCGGACTAGCCACAGCTAGAGAGCATTAAACAGCTTTGCTGCAAAGCACACAGACATAGTGTTAGTATGTCGACCATAACATCTCTGTCAAAGTCATGAGAGTATAGTATTGTCGAGTTCTGTGCCCTTCAAATTCACAACAACAAGAGATGCTAAGACAAAATAAGAACAACTACTGTTTAATTAAGAGGTTTCTTAATTAAATCATTTTTGAACGGACAGAAAACTTTTCCAGAATTTTTGAACAGTCTGTAATTACGGCTGATATCGTTGTTGTTCCAATAAAAAAATAAAATAAAAACAAATTCATGAAAGTAACTGGCTGTACTGTTATAGGTAAAAACTGTTGAGATCAGCACTATTAGAATAAGTTCAGAGTTCACATGGTCCAAGTTATGTTGGCTGTATGTTCCTTCGCCTTCATCCGCAGCACAGCAATGCTGGATGACCGCCGTTCAAACTCAGGTTTGGTCTCAAACGCAGCATGACTGTTCGGTGAAGGAGCCAGAAGTGAATCGGCGAAGAAGTTGTTGAGAGACATTCCAAACTGATTTTGCTGGTGATTGGGGAATCCCATGTAACTGTGCTCACCAGCTCTCGGCGAGTGGGGATAGGGAGACGTCACGCAGGGAGGGGAACCGCGCGGCATCATGCAGGACGCGACTACAGAGCTGCCTGGAGTAGGACCTGTCCATAAGTTGTTGGAAATCTGTGTGGAAGGAGGAATAAAGTAAAATCAAAATGCATTATAAAAACACTTTAGGGCTTCTCACACTATAATAGTTAACCCTGCACTCTCAGAAAAAAAAATACCTTTTCAAAAAGTACACCTTTGTACCTTATTAACCCTCTAAAGGGTGAATATTAGTATCTTAAAGGTACATATGGATAGTACATAGGCACATACATAGTAGGCCTACCTAAGGTGTGCATATTAATACCTTAATGATAGGCTACCTTTTGAAAGTGTCTTGCCCCAGTGACAGCTTTTGTACTTGTTTTTCTTTTTCTGAGACTGTAGGTCATTCTAATACCCAGGTAAACCTAATCCTGGGTTATCTTGCTTTAAGTTTCACACTGCTCATACTTTACCCAGGGCTAACAATTAAAACTGGGTAGCTATTTATAAACTAACGTTTCACACTGTACATTCCTAAACCCCGGTTTAACGTTCTTATTTCCAAATGTTGGGCGTCGTTGATTAAACGAACGCAGCACGTGATCTGTTTTCATAAATGCTGTCGACTGTACTAGCTATCATTTTTTTCCTGAATGGACATTTCGGTAGACTATATCGGTTAAGAATGAAACGGTCTCTTCTTCACTCAAATTTACGTGTTTTCCGTCACCATTATACATTTTTCCCCTCAAACGCTGAAACCACTGTTTATACAATGCGTGCTGTTTCCGTGACTGTTCAAAGCACGTGAATATGAGGAACGCGATTGGCTATCTAGTTAGCTGTAACATTTAACACCGTGTGGTTTCACACTGGACGTGTTTGGAATGGTAATATGGGGATAACAGCGCAAAAGCGGTGCTAACCCTGCTTCAGTGAAGGGTTTCATAACCTCGGGTAAAAGCAGTGCTAACCAGCTTCTGTGTTACAGATAGGGTTGCCATCCGTCCCTTAAAATACGGAATCGTTTAAAGGTAAAATGATGCGTCAAGTATCAAATCAATACGGGACGCGATTTGTCCCGTATTTTACCAAGGCCAACAAGCTGAATCAACAAATAAGTATTTTGCACCGTTTATAATGCTAATAACAATTATAATCAAATTAATTTCATAAGAAGTTAGAGAAGCTCATCTTGGTGTCATCGTTTACACACCCACAAGTTGTTCCAAACCTGTAATCATTTCTTTCTTCTGTTGAACATAAAAAATACTTTGAAGAATGTGGGAAACAGTTTCTGGTCCTCAATGACTCTGATCGTATTTTTTTCTCTACTATGGAAGTTACTGAGGACCAGCAGCTGTTTAGTTACCCACATTCTTCAAAGTATCTTCTTTTGTGTTCAACAGAAGAAAGAACTTGCAGGTTTAGAACAACCTGGGTAAATTATGACAGAATTTTCATTTTTGGGTGAACCATATCTTTAAAGTGACAGACACATCTGTGCTTCTAAAGGCATAACCCTATTGTTTTATTAAAATTTGGATAGTCTGTTAGAGCTTGATAGACATAATTATTAGATTTTTAAACATTATTAGACAGATGAATTAATAGATTATAATTAAGTTAGACCCTATATATTAATTTATCATTTATATCAATCATAAATATATACATAATAAATAAGCATATATGTCATATACAATTTGACATTTGAAAAGGTTTAAAATATGCTACATTATTTAGATTTAATGTAGTCCTAATTTAAGCAAATGAATAAAAAATAAAATACAAATTAATCTCATCCAGGTAACAGCTGCAGAACTCGTGAATGTCGTGAATGGGTGTCCCTTATTTTGGCTTGCTAAAGGTGGCAACCCCAGTTACAAATGTGAAACGTTCCTTTACCCGGGGGTTGAAAGTGGGGTCTAACGACCTGTGTGAAAACCCCTTTTAAGAAGCAAATGATTGAAAGACAATAACACTTTAGGTACATGTCTAGATTAAAATGGAGATGAAAAACAACAACAGGCTTGAGCTGGGGCAGGAAGTCATGAGGCAAAAAAAATCCATAATGAAAATAAAGAAATCCAAATGTTTGGAAATTCATGGTACATAAACATAGGTTGTGATTTGGAAAGTTAATTCAATTTTAAAATTTAAATAGATGCATTTTAGTGTGCCTGGGAAAATGCTCTATGATAATCTGCGATGACATCATATCAGATACACCCTCAATCTACATTAAAATACAGTGACAATTATGTCCAAGACTTTAAATAAATCCAGACCAGGCTTTTAAAAACAAACCCTGCAGCCCGCAAAAATGCATTTGTGTTTACCACAAAAATCTGGGCATAAGACAAACACAAGGCTTCGCACCCTCCCACCTCTCCTTACAACATGCCCGGTGCAATAAAGACCTGTCCTATAAAGGCACAGGCTTTTTTATGTGACTATGGAAAACAAACGAGTGAGGAATCTACTCTCTGATGAAGGAAATTGAGGTCCGTGGTGCCATCTAAATCTTCATCTCCTATCCTCCCAACAGCTTTTGTCAGTTAGCGTGAGACAGCTCTCTGCAGTCTGACTGACTGCCCACACCCATCAAAACTGTTTAAAGCTTGAAAGGCTAAGGCCAGTTGTCGACAATTCATGCATTGTGTTTGTGTCTGTAAGGACCATATGGTATTCGCTTTGGTTTGGTCAAATGTTTTGTGACTCTAATCTGATCAGTAAATACTTTGTCACCTTGAATAAGTGTTTAACAAAAATAGGTCATAAAAACCTATACTTATACAATGTATGATAAATGTGATTTTTTTTTAGACATATATTACTATATATATAGAACAATAAAGCACGATAACAATGATGGTTTGCTAAAAACACTAGGGAAAGCATTCTTTTGCATTTGAGTAGTGGTGACCTAGTGGTGACAGCCATGCATTGGTTAATTTTATTTATTTTTTGCAAATATTTTTGTAAAACCATGGTGCAGATAAATAAAGTGAATCACCTGCGAGTAGCTGTCTGTCCTGGGCAGCATTGATATGTCATAGGTCGCTGCAAAGTGGCTTTTGGCCTGCTGGATCTGTCCATATCTTTCTCGCTTTCTCCACTTGGCTCTTCTGTTCTGGAACCATACCTAAAAAATAAAAAGAAAAGTTATTTTTCCATGATGTAAAATTGATGATTAAATATCGAGTTAGAATTTTATATAAGCACAAATTTACAGAATACATTTTTTTTTTTTCTTTTTTTTTCTTTGTCATGCAGCCTACTTTTTATTAAACCATGTTGGTGTCCTGTAAATGTGAAGCCATAATTAATTACAGGGCTGTGATATTGAGTTCATCAACTTTATCTGTTGCAAACAAATTTTTTTATGTGACTATGGAAAACAAACGAGTGAGGAATCTACTCTCTGATGAAGGAAATTGAGGTCCGTGGTGCCATCTAAATCTTCATCTCCTATCCTCCCAACAGCTTTTGTCAGTTAGCGTGAGACAGCTCTCTGCAGTCTGACTGACTGCCCACACCCATCAAAACTGTTTAAAGCTTGAAAGGCTAAGGCCAGTTGTCGACAATTCATGCATTGTGTTTGTGTCTGTAAGGACCATATGGTATTCGCTTTGGTTTGGTCAAATGTTTTGTGACTCTAATCTGATCAGTAAATACTTTGTCACCTTGAATAAGTGTTTAACAAAAATAGGTCATAAAAACCTATACTTATACAATGTATGATAAATGTGATTTTTTTTAGACATATATTACTATATATATAGAACAATAAAGCACGATAACAATGATGGTTTGCTAAAAACACTAGGGAAAGCATTCTTTTGCATTTGAGTAGTGGTGACCTAGTGGTGACAGCCATGCATTGGTTAATTTTATTTATTTTTTGCAAATATTTTTGTAAAACCATGGTGCAGATAAATAAAGTGAATCACCTGCGAGTAGCTGTCTGTCCTGGGCAGCATTGATATGTCATAGGTCGCTGCAAAGTGGCTTTTGGCCTGCTGGATCTGTCCATATCTTTCTCGCTTTCTCCACTTGGCTCTTCTGTTCTGGAACCATACCTAAAAAATAAAAAGAAAAGTTATTTTTCCATGATGTAAAATTGATGATTAAATATCGAGTTAGAATTTTATATAAGCACAAATTTACAGAATACATTTTTTTTTTTTCTTTTTTTTTCTTTGTCATGCAGCCTACTTTTTATTAAACCATGTTGGTGTCCTGTAAATGTGAAGCCATAATTAATTACAGGGCTGTGATATTGAGTTCATCAACTTTATCTGTTGCAAACAAATACAGATCCATAACAAATTAAAGGTAATAAATGTCAGGTATGTAAAACGTTTTCATCATAAAAACATATTTATATGCATCTTATTTATCACATCATTAAATTTTTACGAGTTTTTATAGGGTTAACGACTTTGTTTATCGGTAATTAGGCTACATAAAAAAATCGGTAATTACGGTCATTTACTTTTGGAAAAGCGCTAAGTGCAGGTTGTACTGTATCTTTAGCACCACTTTCATTTTAACTTTAACATTTAAGGCAAAATTTAAAGTAGGTTTTTTTTTCGCGGTGAGGAATGCATGCATGAAGACTAAAAAGTGATTTGAATTTTTTAGTGACAACTAAGGCTTTTTAAACCTCAAATGCAATGACGTTATTCTCAGACAGGCCTAAATTTAGCATTGAGAATTATGAAGTCTAAAAAACATACAGGGAATTTCAGAGAATTATCACAAATGAAAGTGAGCGGTTACCTGAACTCTGGCCTCCGTGAGCTCTGTTCTCATGGCCAGCTGTTCTCTCACATACACATCTGGGTAATGGGTTTTCTGGAAGACTTTCTCTAGATCCTCTAGTTGAGCGCTCGTGAAGGTCGTGCGATGGCGTCTCTTCTTGCTGCTCGACACGTTGCTGTCGCATTTTTCGCCGATGTCGTCCAGGTCAGTTTTGTCTGGTCCGGCTGTGGCCGGTGAGACTCTGATGCTGCAGCAGTTCTCCATCGCGTGCAGGCTGCTGTCTTCAGTTTTAGGAGCGCAGTAATTCACGCCTGATCATTATTAAAATATGGGTAGTTAACATAAAATGACACAAACTTTCAGCAGCACCCTATCTAAAACTACATCTAAAACTGTAAACCTTTTTTTTTCAACACTGAATAATTTTCTCATAAAAACAACCGCACGGAGTAATTTTACATCGTTACATCGTATGATAATTTCAAAAATGATGAAAACCTTAAGACCATAAATATGCATATAGGCCTATTTGCATAAAAACATAAGAAAATGCTCATGGACATTTATCAACGGCCAATGTAACTTTATAATGAAAGGAAAGTAGATTGAATATATGTAGTATTTGCCCATTTAGTCCACGTACAATGAGGTAAAAAATATGTTTAGGCTATTTATTTGAATATTCATCTTCAAATGTAAATAAATCACTTATTTGCAGCTTTAGGTTTACGAATTACTTTTTAAATGAAAAGTTACCAAACAATTAGGCTAGCGGATATAAGATAGCAATGTTTCTAAAAGATTTTTTAAAAAGAGCAAAGTTTATTTAAAGTTCTAAAGAAGTAGACAAAGGCCACGTTCGGTGAAAATATGTTTAAAAAAAATTCAGCTTTTCTCTTTTTTCTTTCTCAACTTTTGAAAAACGTAATCTTATTTAATTGTTAGAAACAACTTGAAGAAAAAAAAAACTAAAAAATATATTGAAAATGTAAATCTTACATAGGCTATTGGTTAATGCACGTTTTACATTTAATTCGTACAAGTTATTTAATCATAAACGTACTAATAAGTAGCCCAGCTAGTAGCCTAAATGGTAAAACATTTCTTGTAGGAAATGCAAAACTGCCAATAGCTTCTAAATGCAATTTAATTTGGTTTTCTTGTTATTTTGTTTAAAATAAAAGTTATTAAAATAACTTTTATAGATTGGTGCCCGGAGAAAATTCTGCCTTCCATGCACAGAGGACTTTTTTTATTTTTCACTTTAGAAAACCACATATATCGGTACTTTAAATAATCTATTCTAGACGACTCCAGTGCATTGACCTGAAGAAACTTTTAAGAACTTCATTCATATCTGGAGAACCAAATAACATCCTTTACTGATCCAAGGTGTTGCAAAAACACCGAAGAATCTTTAAATATTATGCAAAATGTTTTGTTGCATTTAACAAAGACAAAAAAAACAAAAAAACTTTGTGAGTGCGTGTGTGTTTTTTTTTTTTAAGTCAGACTTACTGTTTTGGTTGTCACAAGGAGACGATCTGTCCATGGTGGTGTGTTGATCATTGCTCTGCATCGAGAAGGCCTGGACGCATTTAGGTGATGTCTTGTTGTAGTACTGCACATTGTCTAAAGTCTCCATGACTTGGTCCATGTAGTAATCGCTGCCTTTAATCGCTTGGCTTTTCAAGGAGAACTTGTCGCTCAAGTACTCCATCATGGTCCTCTGGCCTCGTCTCAAGCATGTAGCGCGTCAGTGGACACCATAAATGTTTTAGTGATGTCAAAAAGGAAGCAATGCGGCCAATTATTTGTACAAGTCGTTAATTTGTCTTGTCTTAAAGAGACCGAGGGCCTCTCTTTATACGGCAAAGAGTGCGAGCTTCAAGCAGCCACCCAACTTCTGAATATGGAGAAGGTGAAACTCCACCCACGCGCATGCACAAGCTCTAAATAAGATTTATGAAACTCTGAGATGACCCGAAATGAAACAATTACACTTGCTTTCGCTTTCAGTGTGTTTGGATATCCCTAATGATTAACTGATAAATGTGACTCAAGCAGATATTGCGCGCTAGGCTATTTAAAGTGTTAAACCGTCTAAACAATAGTAAGTATTTCAGTAAACAGAAAAGTTGGTGACTGTTTAAAGAACAGCTATAGAGTATGTTCTTTAAGAAGAACAGTAGAGAGTAGCTACATATTTAGGAGTAAAAACATATTTTACTTTACTTTGTATAGCCTAACTTACTTGCAGTTAATTCATTTTAAGTTAATAGCCTAAATGTAGCCTAATATCACGATGACTAAAAAAAATATGATATTTGATAAAACCATCAAAACATTCCACCAAGTGTAACGTTTGTAGAAAAAAAAACGTATTTAAACTACTGCAAATAAGTATTTAGTAGCCTATTTAACTGGGAAAATAGCATCTTTGTTCCAACGCATAATTTAGTGTTACTTATTTTAACTACTTTTTTTGTTCATAACGGGGAAATAACTTTAAACTACCTATTATTTTTTTTTCCAGTTTATTTATGTATTTAATTTAATTAATTATTTTAATTTACGTTATAGCCTACAAAAAAAGCTTCGCTTTCCAGTAAAGCATACGGGACGGCATTTGGGACGGTGACAAATACATTTAGGCTACTTTTCTGAAGGTACATGTCATTAAATTACAAATGTTATTTAAATATTTTATTTTATCTATTATTCGAATGATTATAAATCATCTATAGGCTACGTTTTGCTTCAATAATCTTTAATATTTTTAATATCGCCTTAGCCTACACATTCAATACATTTTTTAAGACGGCTACACAAAATATCAGTTTTCAGTGAACCAGTAAACAGGTATTTACTACAGCATTTTTTACATAATTACATATTAACACATTTATTGCATTGTAAACAATGTGTACCTAACAAACTATTAAACTTTTCTCACAATTTTTAAAATATAGTCATTAGCCTAATATATTTATAAAGATTATGTTCCATATTAAGGGGAATGAATAGGCTATGTATATTATTTCATCCAACATCCCTGGCAGGACAAGCCTGTGTTTGCAGGTCTCATGAAATAACAATATGAATAAGAAACGAATAATATCACGACGGCATTCAGCGCTTGTAGCCTACAGTACAGAAATTCTGTTACCATGGCCTAAATAAAAAATACAATAAAAGTTATCACTTTGTCACACATATTTAAATGTGTGTTAAACATTTTCAAGTTACATAGATTTTTTTCTAGAGGAAAATATAGCACCTAGAAAAACGATGACATGATCGTACACGCGTAATATTAAAAAGGGCCTTTTATAGCGTAATTTATTCAGCTACTTTTATCAATAATTTTGCTCAGTTGACACGCTTGGCTTTATCCAAAGAAAAAAAAACTCCACTGATAAGGCAAACAACGCAGAGCTGTACACACTCTTGACAGCAACAGTGTAGACACAGAGTGAGCATGAGGCCGATTTTTGAATGCAAGACTATAAAGCTCGGCACCAAAATGATTTTGCGACCACCTGAACGTGTGTATTTCAAACAGGAAAGGCGTCATCCGATACCACCCTTACTCTAAAGAGTTTGTAAGAGATCACACATAGAGAAGCCCTCTCCTTTCTGCCAGCAAAACCTTACCCCCTGCCAGGCTAGCCATATCTAAGGGTCACTTACAATGCTTGGGGTTTGATGGTGCCACTCCAAGAAAAAATGAAAATAAATAGGGGTGCTCTTAAGTAGCAGGGGGGTTTCTTATTAAGGCTCTGAAATGACCTTCTATTTGGACCCCTTGCTGAGGGGAAAATGTGAGAAATTCTCAATGGTTTGTTGAAATTTTGTCTGCGCATTAAAAATAAAGCACATCAAAGTGCAGAAGATGCTATGAGTTACGGCCTAATTTCACTTAGTTAAGTTCATATGTACATCAAGAAATATTGCAAAATCAAATAAGTGAGCATTAAAGATATAAGATATTTGAAATATTTGATCTGCCATTTGTTCCTTTTAATAACAAAATAAAAAAGGGAAAAACTGTCACATTACAGAGTAAACATTCTCCAATTTGAGTCTTTTTTGTCATTACTGTTTATTATTTTTGATTTTGCAGGCAGGCAGGCATTTGGACTGATGTTTTATATGTTTTAAACTGCAATTATTAATTAACATATGCTAACATAATGTTTATATCACATAAAAATATTCATACTGCCATCTATAAATTGTATGTGATGATCCTTGCATGTCCTTGAAATTATCAAAAATATACAATAAGTATATATGTATGTGTGTGTGTGTGTGTGTGTGTGTGTTATATAATATATAACAATTATACGACTCAAGGATCTCCTTAGTTTGAGCTCTGTCAAATTGGTACAGAGAGATGTTAGTGTTTTTCTTGATTATGAAGGTACATTCTTAAATCATATTAATGGTTTTGTACTGGCCACATGAGGCTTTCAGGCCACTGACATGTTTGCCATTGTTTATCGCCTCTCTCTGTTTCGTTCCCTCTCTCGCTCTCTTATGTACTATAGACAGAATGAATCTCTAGTTAAAGTCAGAGGTCAGTACGAGCGTGTCAGCTGGGTTTGTGTACATATGCCTTTGCAGTCACTTAAGTAATTAAAATGATAATAAACGGTTTGGCCACAGCCACTTCTTCCAGCTGCTGCGATCGAGCTGCTCAGGTCATGCCAGATGCATTGAGCTTGCAAAGTCAAATTTGGTTTGAAAGGCCTCTTCACTTTAGTGTGAAGGATTATTCAATGAGTATTTATTTTCTCTATAATGTGTTCCCGGGCAGTTAAATACAACGTAGTCTATTAGAAAGTCAAACAAACCAACAGGTTTTATATGACTCTGAAGGGTTTTACTAACCTTATTCAGATCTGCTCTCGCTGACACTTGAAAAGATTATCTCTCATGGTTTGCCTATGTTTTCTGTGGGTAACAACTGGCATGAATTACTCGCTGGCATCGGTCTGTGGATTCAGTCTGTTATTCTGAGATTCAGCAAAAGTGGAAACTTGGAAATGTACGGTCTTTGGAGTCCCACTATAACCTTTTTGCAGTCATAGTCTATCTATATACTTTATCTAGTCTATGCGCTCAGAAAAAAAGGTACAAAACTGTCACTGGGGTGGTATCCTTTCGAACCTTATCCTTTTGTACCTTTTTTCTGAGAGTGTAAGTATATAATATATACTGTATACATACATACACACTTGTAGTTGCAAAGTTACTTATAGTTACTTATAGTCAGTAGAATATCTAAAGTGGACTATCAAAATAAAGTGTAGCCTATTTTTATATCTATTTACAGTAAAATGTATTTATGTGTATATAATTCAACAAGACAATACCACAGCAGTCAGCCAGTGTCTCTGGATTAAGTACGAGACCTATGGGCCATCTGCCCAAACATGATGCCAAAACTCCCACTAATAAGGCATTCTATTTTAGAATTTCTATAAGTATAAAAATGAGCCTTAAGCTGGTGCCTGAAAGTTCTTTTCCAACCACTGTTTTGACCACTCAGCTTTTTGAAATCCAAATTAAAATACGCAAACAAGGATATCCTTATCTGACACTAACACTAAAGAAAACACTTTTAACTCTGATGTATGCATTTCTTTTTACTTATTTTTGGACTTGTTTGCCATAGACACTTTTTATGAGAGATTACAACATAGGTGTTTGAGGCAGAACTGTGTATATAGCAAATAATTTATTGACAGTGATCTTTGATATATTACTTTCATTAAATGTGCATTGTCTTACTTTTAGCTTTTAGAACAACACAAATTCCCAGTATAAAGAAAGAAAAAAAACCTAAAGTAAATTGAAACAGGAACGAGCTGTTTTCTATTGCCTGTCATTGTCTGCATATTAAGCATGTCATTTGTAAATGGTTTCCACCCAGTCCATGGCTCGCAGTGCTCATGTTAAATGGAGTGATACTTGAAAGCAATACATATCCTGTGACCGCCTGCAGATATTTGGGCTATATCTCATCCATTGCTTCTAATTCATTTGCTGGAGAGGAAGCTGGATTTTAGTAAAAACAGCAGCTGCAAGGAATTTCAGCGGAGATCAAATGGGCATTGTAAGTCTTGTTAAGGGCTTACATCGACAAGACATCCATCACACTCTGAATATATACACAGCCGCAAATACGAAGGGAGAAAACAAAAGAACAAACTGAATCAATATTATCTCAGTGCAACAAACACAAGCTGATGTAGTTATTTTTTTACTTGTTCAATTTGGCTCTCTTCTTTCCTCCACCCCAGCCTGTGTCGCACTGGGCCGTCCCGGAACGAGATGCGTTCATTTCGGATCGGAGCTGAATTGACTCTTGTAGGTGATGGCACTTCTGTTTCTGTGGAGACAAAGGTAATTTTATTTTTTTTAAAAACACCTTTAATAATGCTAATACACCTGATAAGACTTTGACTGACATTTATGGAGTTTCCAACAAGCACAGTTCTTTCAAACACATAGAACAAAGCAAGCTTTTTTCTCTAGCTGATGCGTTCCACGTGTAGAACCCATGGCTGTGCTCAGCAAGCGGTAAAATGAAACAGCAAGTAAAACTTCATCGATTCGGGAGGCTACCGTGCACCACTTATCTTCCTGCACATAATTCTAAAACTTTCAAAAAATGATAAATTATTTTTATTTCAAAGATTCAAAGCCAAGTAACTCTTCTGATCCCTGGTTCTTAATAAATGTAATACATTTTACAAATGTAGTAATTGTTTAGCGAACACAAATTTTAGTTTTTACTACATTTGTCTTCATTTGTTCCCTGCCTTTGCCGATTAAGGTGGAAAAAAGTAGACATCTGCTCTCGACGGGTATTAATCGCACTTCAAACCCTGGACGTTTATATTCAAAGAGACACATGTTGTTGCCCGTGTTCTGTGGGCTGATATTTAATAAAACGGCCACACACTCACTTAACCGCTGTGACCAAACAAATTGTTTTCAGCCATTTTGCTCCCATTACCTTTGAAAGAGGGCAAAAAATGAGGCACCGGGAGATTTCCTCTACACATAATGAAAACGTTTATGGCTCCCTAAACTGCTCTTTATGGCTCGGCCCCAGTAAGTAGAGGATATCTTGTTGCATTAAACCTAAGTAGTATTTATAGAGTCCTTACTGTAATTGAACAATGTACTAAGCATGTCAACTTTGTGCTCATGACCTAATGACTCACGATGATTTAATTCAAATGACAAGAGGCCTATGAGGAGCTGGGAAAATTTGTTTTATGTTAGCTGATAAACAGACTAATTCACAACGGGAATAAAACATTATTTTCAGAAAATTAGTAGTGATATTTGTGGATTATAAAGGAATCGTTTTGCATGTAAAGTGAATTATCTATAAATAAATCTTTTAAGTTCTCTTTGATCTGTAGAATCAGCCCTCTCTCCAATAAATCACCTATAAATACCTCTATGTGAAAGGCTTGACTGAGTTCGTCATTCAGACAGCCAGTCAGTCATTCAGTCAGTCAGGCTGTCAGCATCCTCGTGGATTTCATTTTCAAATCATCATCAGAATCCAATTTAGTTTCATTAGGACAGACAGTGAAAAGCTTTCACAGTGCATCATGACTGTGTTAAACGCGCTGAGACCTGCTTGTGCCAGTCAGTGGGATCTTTGTCAGGGTGAGTCCTGAGTGGTATAGTGTGTGTGACAGAGCTCGCACTTAATCAGCGAGCTGTCAGAGGTCTCTCGCTGTCCGTTTCCTGCTGAAAGAGAGATTATTCCCCCCACCGTCCCCTCATTGACCCCGGCATCTGTCTGCAAAGCTGACACACGCACACATAGGCAATTATACACATACATATTCTCAAACATGCTTGCATTAACCAGAAGCATAAAAAAATTTAAAACATGTTTATCTTGCATTCACTTTTTAATAAGGTGGAACAAAATTACAAAGCTGCATTTATACATATAACAAAAGTGCTTGTTGATGTGTGAAATCGGATTTGTGTGATGTTGTAATGGGTTATCAAGTGAGCCAGATGATGTGTACAGTCATGTCAGTTTCCATCGTGTGCTTCACGTCACACCCACTGCACTCTGTGTGCAGTATTTGATTTGGCACCTTACCCACATGATTTAAATTCACATCATTGTGTGAAGTCTGCAGTGTTTTAAAATTCTTCCTTAATTAATCCCATCCCTTAACATTTCAGAAATTATTACTGGGATAAATCATACGGAGATGATGCTCTGAGTAGAACCCGAAAGCTGGTGCCAAAAAAGAGATATCGTAAAAAAAAATGTATCCAATGGTGTGCTGTATGTATTCATAACAGAAGTGGAGAAGGGAGTTTGACTGCTTTCAGAAAACATGCTATTTTGCTTGTGTGATATTATCAACAATGCAGGCATAGATGTTTCTAATGTTAATGGAGTGTTTGCATACTTTATAACTTGTATTTAAACAGCAAAATATGGTCAAATGTTTGGAATAATTAAGAAAAATTAAGCTCCTGTGATAGCAGTGCTGAATTTTCAGCTGCCATTACTATTATTCTGCCATCAAATTATTCTTCAGAAATCATTCAACATTAAAAGAAATAATTATTCCAAACTATAAGACCGGTTGTATATAGAAGAAAATTTGTGTTTTTTATAGCTGGTATTTATTTTATGTTATGTTATTTTATTTTGATAGTATGCATTTTAAGTAAAAGACTCACTTGTGTTTTCAGCTGAGTATCTTCGAGGCTGAGTATGCTTTTTAAGAGGTGGAGAGACACTAGTGGAGTCAGTCCAAAATCTTGCTCCTGAATCTCCACCGTCTCTGTCCCCTATGGCCTAAGAAAAAACAGATACAAGTATAGGCATATTAACATATTAAAGTATAGGCAACCACTCACACACACGAACATGCATAAATTTACTCTCCTATAAACAAATATCTACAGGGCTGAAAACAGCAGCAATTGTTAGTAAGTTTTCAAAGTATTTACTTTAAATTTAAATTCACAATTAATTAAAAATGAACAGTGGCATGTTAGTGTGCAGATTTAAGTATAATAAATGATAAATAAAAAAAAAGCTCTTACCACAAGCTGCACCCTCCCACCATTAAGAATATCCTGGCCAATATCAGGGAAGAAATGATCCCTAAAAAAGTCATTGAATAGATTACCTCTAACACAATTTACACCACAGCGCATTCACAACATGTGAGACCACTATAACTGATCACCATTATGAACTGTTAATAACTTCAATCTGTGTATATTTTTCAGAAGAATATAGTTCAGAGCAGTGTGTCTCACCGTCCCGTGCCTGCAGAGTCTGTTTCGGGATGAACTGCTTGTGTGTGGAGCCACTGCTAAGTTCTCTACTTGTAAGATTGTTTTTCCTCTGCTTTCGGTAATTTGTGAACTTCATTCACTGCTTGGTGAACTGCATTTGACATGAAACAAGATGAAAAGCATCCAAAACAGTTTTTTTTCTGACACATCCATTTAAATATTTACAGAAATAAACATTACATTTTGAAGGGGGGTTGTTTGCCAGACAACTCCTGATAAACACCAAGTTAATCAAAAAAGGAATAGTTTTGGACTGTAACTAAGAAGCAGAAGAAACAAGTCTGCGTGGTGGATAGCAAATGCAAATGACAGTTGTTTCGGGAACTTCTGTGGTGTATATTTACGCCTACTGAGCAAAAAAAGAAAAACTAAATGAGTAGGTAGGAAGTAGGGAGATTTATGGACAGTGTCCATACCTGTCACCAAAAAGCCCTAATTCAAAATAAACATGTTCTTGGTACAAACTAGCATGAATTGATAACGACTTCTGACGGCCAAGTGCTGGAACTAATGAGCCATTTATTTAAGTCATTTTCATGGTTTTGCCAAAAAGTAAAGCGCAGACAAGGTTTATGGGTTACAGTTGTCATGGGTTAATTGAAAATCCACTAAAAATGTCAAGTGATTAACTCCTCCCTAAGGGCTGAACAAGAAAACGGAAAAAAGGCAAAATACATTTATTGCTGATGAAAAGTCTACAAGTGAAACAATAATATTTAGTATTAACAGTATGTTTGCACTTTCAACAGACATGATTTTGAAGCTTTTTCATACACTTTAGGAAATGCAATAAACAAATAAAAAGAATAGATTTAATACAACTATTTGGACTTCAAACATTTGGACACTTAAGTATGAACACATAAAATGTATGAATTATATTGCATTCTATAACAAAATATCCAACCAAGAGGATCCTGCAAACAAATCATGTCATTTAGTCATTTTTTAACCAACTGGCCCTACGGTCATTTTTATTTGAACAGGGTGCTTGTGCTAATTTTCTTTCAAATAAATGGAAACTAGTTTGATGTTGTCAAATGCAATAATATTCATATACATTAAAGTGTGACTGCGTCGAAATACCATTGGGGCCACTGTATGTAAAATAAGTATTAGAATAGAATAGAATAGAATATGTTCATATAACATTATTTATATTAATAGTTCATTTATAGCATATATAGCACTTTATAGATTTAATATAATTTGATGTCAACAATCATAAAACTGTTACTTGAGTTCATAAAAAGTGTGCATTAGGACAGGTTCATGGTTCAATAAGTATTATTATTTGCTGAAAATTTGCAAGAAAATCAGGGTCGAAGTTGTGTGTATATACAGTGAACACACAAATTTAAGGGAAGGACCTCTAGAGTTAACCACAGATATTATATGATAGAAACACATGCAGCATCCAGTAGCTGTCAAACCCGCTTCCCCCCATCTATCCCACCCTCAGGACATTAGGGGGCCCAGGAGTCACGGCTGTTAGAAGGGCTCTTAAGTACATTAGGCTGTGTGGTGCTGCTATGGCGGTGACAGGAGTTAGAGAATCAGCTCTTTCACGAGGGTCAGGATAACAGAACCAAACTGCTGGGGGTGAGCGGCTCAAAGTGATTTCCTTAAGGACACTGTGCAGGTATTTTCAGAAATCCTGCTCTTCCTTCATACCAATACTGTCAATATAGTCAATGACACAAGGTCAATCCTGACAAAACCAAGATAACAACTGCCCTTTCTCTCCTTTAAAAGAAGTCATTAAAATATAATAGATTAATAGACATAGATCATATTTTGATGCTTATATATATATCTCATCTCATGTTACGTCTATCAAAAATGCTTCCACAGATTTTCCAGTTATTTTTGGGTCTGACTTACTAAACTGGAATTTGGCATCCAAAATGCCTAAATTGTTTCATTGCAATGAAGTCACTCCATGCACACACGCATAGGCTATGCACAAGACACACTGTGCATGTGGGGGATTCTTGAGTGTGTGTGTGAGTGTGAGTGTGAGTGTGTGTGTGTGTGTGTGACTATGAGACATACCCATGGGGCTTTGATTGTTTGGGAGTTCTCCGAGCAGACTCAAAGAGGGAGGTCAGGTCTTTTATCGTGAGGTTCTGTCTCCCACTTTCCTTTACCCTGGGTCAAACCTTCACCTCCAGAGAGCAGACCACAGGCAGTCAACCAGCGGTCAACACACACACACACAAACACACGCTACGGAAAGGTTTGTATGTACGCATGAAGCTTGTCAATCACATCAATCTGAAGCAATCAAAAAGTGCACCGAAATGGAAGAAATCTGATAAATCTTTGCGAAATGGAGGCAATCTGATAAATCTTAATATGAGATTTTGAGAAACTACAAATCCTTAGTTGCACTGGCGCAGAATAGCAAAAAAACAAGGTTCATTTGAACTTTTTAAATTCAAGAATTGATGTTTTAAAAATCATCTCTTGATTTTAATTTCCTTTAATACATTGGACAAAAGGAATTAGTAATTTGTTTAGAAAATCTTTTTAATTTAAGAGCTGATGTTTTAAAAATCATCCCTGAAAGTTTAATATCCTTTAATAAAGTGAAAAAAGGAATAATTAGTCATTTGTTGAGAAAATCTTAATGTGATATTTTGAGATCCTGTAAATCCTTGATTGCATTGGCACAGAAAAGCAAAAAAAATGCTTTAATTAAACTCTTTTTAAATTTAATAACTGATCATTTAAAATTATCTCTGATTATTTTAATTTCTTTTACTAAAGTGCACAAAAACACACAAAAATAGAATAATTAGTAATTTGTTGAAGAAATTGAAACAATCCGATAAATCTTAATGTGAGATTTTGAGAACCTATAAATCCTTGGTTGCATTGGTGCAGAAATTAAAATAAAATAAAATAAATTCTGATTATTTTAATTTATTTTACTAAAGTGAAAACACCAATAATAATTTGTCATTTTTAAGGTGATTGGCTATATATATGACCTAAGTAAGACATTGTATTTCAGTTAATCTCTTTCAACTGATCTAAAGTATTATTTTTCACAAAACCTCACTCTCTTCTGTGATTTCCTCGCAAAGGAATCCACCCAAACCAAAAGCATCATCTACTTGAGAAGTGATACAGTGCCAAGCCCAGCAGATACAGGAGACTGGAAATACATGACACATGGTGCAAATCAAACACAGGAGAGCAGCGAAAACCTGCAGGTTAATGCAAAGCAACTTTGCTGCATTTGACAAAAAAAGTGTCAAATGATTGCATTTCTTACGATTAAAGATGCTTAAACCAACATAAGCAGGGCATCATGAAACTTTGTGTCCTGGCTTTGGGGTTGGGTAAGGCTACCTGCTCTTCCCCTATGCTGACCTGCGGAAGGCACCAGCAATACAACCCCAACCCCATCCCTATCAGGGACGGCCCCAAGCCTCAGGCTACAGGCTGGCCGCATCATCTACTTGAAAAGTGACACAGTGCCAAACCCAGCAGATACAGGAGACTGGAAATACATGACACATGGTGCAAATCAAACACAGGAGAGCAGCGAAAACCTGCAGGTTAATGCAAAGCAACTTTGCTGCATTTGACAAAAAAAGTGTCAAATGATTGCATTTCTTACGATTAAAGATGCTTAAACCAACATAAGCAGGGCATCATGAAACTTTGTGTCCTGGCTTTGGGGTTGGGTAAGGCTACCTGCTCTTCCCCTATGCTGACCTGCGGAAGGCACCAGCAATACAACCCCAACCCCATCCCTATCAGGGACGGCCCGAACCCTCAGGCTACAGGCTGGCCGCCGCTCCCCTGCTCTCCCCCAGCAGGGGCTTACATTTCAGCCGAGCGCTCCAAGCCCCCTTCTGGAGGTGATTAGCCCCCTGAAGCCGTGACAGATTCTTTCCGAGATATCCGCCTCACTTGTGTTTATTTTATCCAAGCTCTCTTTTGTGGATGTGCTGGACATGAAGTAACCCACTTGAAAATGGGTATCGGCTTACATACGCCACGGGACTGGCGGAGGAGTCGGAACAACAACAAAAAAAGTAAAGAAAGAAAGCAACCATTCGCATGTAAAGAGGATATCTTTCCATTTATTTGCCCTGCTCTTTAACATGCCCCTTCATCTATGCCTTATCTCTTACGCTCGACCCCCCTCGGTAGCATTGTGCTCAAAGCCCACCCCCCTCGGGTGGCACTAGGGCTGCAGACGGCACTCTCTCTCTCTCTCTCTCTCTCAGTCTGGAACCCCTAAGTGCCCTACCTCCTCTGTACTTAACTCAATTTCACACTTCAGGTCCGCTACAAAGTCTCCTGAAATACAATCATCTTGTTTATTCTCCACCATCCCAAACAACCTAATAGCTAGCTATTTACGATCCCATCATGTGCATTCAATTTAATCGGCCGATGTGTATGTTTTCGTGTATTACACGCAAGGTAGATCCAAGCGTGTCCCAAATGACTGGATGGATCCAGCCCATGGGGAATAATGAAAATGGATCGGTTCTCTTAGAATTCAGGAAATTATGCAAACTCCATCAATTGTTGACTTGTATATTATATAACAACAACTTATTTCCTATAATGAATCAATTGATTAATATGGAGAATCACTTTATTTATACAGAGAATAAATGTATTCGTATGGTGAATTGTTTGATTAGTACTGTGTACTATTCAACTGATTCAAATGGTGAATCATTTTATTCATATAGTGAAAAATAGATCCATATGGTGAATAAATAGATTCATATAGTGCTGAAAAACAGATTCATATTTCTAAAGTGAATCAACTGAGTCATATAATGATTCAATTGATTCATATAGTGAATAAACTCATTCATATAAATATTAGTTGTGTCCCAACATTCCACACTTCGTTTTCCTGGTTAAATAAGTGGATCATCTGGGTGTTTAAAGTACATTTTTTGTTGGAATTTTCTGTGTGGATACACTAATCATGGAATTTATCCTACAAAATGGCATTTAATATTATGTAAACTGGGAAACACATATTCTTTTAATTTATAAAGTGACTCATTTGAATAGTAAATCAATTGATTCATACAGTACAGAGATTCAGTTGATTCATATGTAGCAACAACAGATTCATAGCTGAATAAACTGATTTGTATAGCGATTTAACTGATTCATATTATAAATCAATTAATTCATATACATATATATTTTTAGATGTATATAGTAACTTGTTTGATTTGTGGTGCATATATGCATGAATTTAGCCATACCTATAAAGTTGTCCTTGAAAGTAGGACGTGTTCGCCTTTTAGTTTCTGTAGAAACATACTGGTTACTGTGGCTCCTGAACAGGGCCAGACGTGGATGTGGGTCTAGTACACATAACACAGACAGGAACACAGCCACAAATGAGCTCATACGAATGCAGGATTCATCGAGTAGACAAGCGCAAACAGAGAACTGACAGAAACCAAAGCTTCATTTTCCATTACGAGACCAAAGCGCCCATGGAGCAGTGGCTCTGAGAGCTTGACACAGGCCCTCATTTCATGGGGCCATGATTGGATTTGTGGCATTAGAGTCACGCACTCCTGACCTTGATCAAAGCCGGCTTCAGGCCAACCCTGGAGGATCCAGACTAGGGCCAGCACTACCGTGTCTGGGATTCTTCTCAGACTCACGGCCCATTGAACTTACGAGCACTGATGTTTTCCTAGCTCCTAGTAATGAAGCAGGTTCTGGGCCCTTGGAGCTCAAAGCACGATGGAATATATGTAAGAATGTTTGCAGACGGGCCAATCGAACATGACAAGGCATGGAGCAGGGTGGAGCTGGTTGATGTTATGGCAGATTAAGCTTCTCATGGAATCACAAGCTCCATGCTAGTGTGGCATGACTGTTTACCAAAGACGTAGAGAGGGGAAAATTATTTTAAAAAAAGGTTCTGAAGACTGGCATAAAGTTTTAAGGAAATGGGCATTGTTTCATTAAATGGATGGTTCACCCAAAAAATAAAACACTGTACACTATGAAGAACACCATATTTTTTTTATATAATGTATTAAGAAACATGCTATTTTTTCTTAGAAGTCTCTTTGTGTCAGTACAGATTGATTGATTAATAGCAGCCTTTTTAGAGGTAATGCTTTTAACTTGACTAAATATTATATTAGTATTATTGTAGCTTTACTGACAGGAATGTACTTACACTGTCTTTCAGATGCTAATACAGTATATTATATCACAGACAGTGGTTCTCAGCCTTTTTGACTCCAAGGCCTCCACTGTTCACAACAATATTCAAAGGCCTTTTCCAGTTGTTTGTGATTTACTGGATAAGGATTAAGGATAACAGCTGTTGATAGGGTGAATTTAAAAAAAAAGTTTGTTTTAGGTGATTTTAATGCTTGTTTTTTTTTCTTGTCATCTTGAGGCCCCATAAGAAGTTTGCTGAGGCCCCTAGTGGGCCCTGGCCCCCTGATTGAGATGCACTGATCTAGGATCCAATAAAGGATCTGTTGAATTAAAAGTTGAATGATTTTAAGTATAACTCATAAGATGGATAAATTGATATATAAATATGCTTACCAAATAACCTCTTCTGCTTCTGTTTCTTGCCTTTCATTTTGTTGGCTCTCTTCAGCATGAAAAGGGCAGTGGACTCATTAGTGATTCCCCTGAAATAGAAGTTAACAAGAGTAACTACACTGGTCTATAAAAAGTTTTTTATGTGGAATTTAAAATGATTTTCTAATAAATTTGATTAAAATTGTGGCACTGAAGTGAAAGGACTGCACAGAGTAGCACAGAAACATACCATTCTTTGAGGATTTTTTCTGATTCCTCAGACAGGGTGCTGATTTTGAGGCTTGATCTGGAAATTTGTTTAGAAAACCATAGAAATTGCAAGAAAAAATTGGCAGCATGTTAATTTACGTAATGATCAGCATAAGACATGAAGCCAATGATTACCTGCTACTAAGGTGAGGCGTCAAGCTTTGCTCCGAACAGGCTGCACCTTCATTATCTGACCAGGCATGTTTTGGCTGCAGTGGAAAAACAGATAGAGTCTTTGGAGACCCTTGAATCGGAAGAGGGAGTGGAGACTAAGAAACACAAAGACAGTAAAAGAAAAAATAGCATCAGTATGCAGTTTCTAACACAAAGATCTCAGCCTTTTTGACTCCAAGGCCTCCACTGTTCACAACAATATTCAAAGGCCTTTTCCAGTTGTTTGTGATTTACTGGATAAGGATTAAGGATAACAGCTGTTGATAGGGTGAATTTAAAAAAAAAGTTTGTTTTAGGTGATTTTAATGCTTGTTTTTTTTTCTTGTCATCTTGAGGCCCCATAAGAAGTTTGCTGAGGCCCCTAGTGGGCCCTGGCCCCCTGATTGAGATGCACTGATCTAGGATCCAATAAAGGATCTGTTGAATTAAAAGTTGAATGATTTTAAGTATAACTCATAAGATGGATAAATTGATATATAAATATGCTTACCAAATAACCTCTTCTGCTTCTGTTTCTTGCCTTTCATTTTGTTGGCTCTCTTCAGCATGAAAAGGGCAGTGGACTCATTAGTGATTCCCCTGAAATAGAAGTTAACAAGAGTAACTACACTGGTCTATAAAAAGTTTTTTATGTGGAATTTAAAATGATTTTCTAATAAATTTGATTAAAATTGTGGCACTGAAGTGAAAGGACTGCACAGAGTAGCACAGAAACATACCATTCTTTGAGGATTTTTTCTGATTCCTCAGACAGGGTGCTGATTTTGAGGCTTGATCTGGAAATTTGTTTAGAAAACCATAGAAATTGCAAGAAAAAATTGGCAGCATGTTAATTTACGTAATGATCAGCATAAGACATGAAGCCAATGATTACCTGCTACTAAGGTGAGGCGTCAAGCTTTGCTCCGAACAGGCTGCACCTTCATTATCTGACCAGGCATGTTTTGGCTGCAGTGGAAAAACAGATAGAGTCTTTGGAGACCCTTGAATCGGAAGAGGGAGTGGAGACTAAGAAACACAAAGACAGTAAAAGAAAAAATAGCATCAGTATGCAGTTTCTAACACAAAGACTTTTTTTTTTTAAAGATAGATAATATTCATGCTGCCTGGTTGTAGAACATCGAAGTGCATTCAACAATCTCTACATTTCCACAGCAGCAGCTGCATCACATCACAGTACCGTGATAGAAATGGCCAGCTCTCTCTAAAGAAAAGAAACCGCAGGAGAAAAAGCGCCGTGCTGAAAAATGACATCTGCTGACGAGAAGGAAGTCTGAGGCGGCCTAGAAAGTAATTGTGTTTTTGGAGGCAATAAATTTGGCACTTAATCACCCAGAGAGACTCTGATTGTCCCGGCCCACAGACAGAAGGAGGATCCGTAGGGCTGTTACCTTTGGCAACGGCAGCTGATCTGAAAATGGCATCATCCTGGCCGGTAAGGCATTGGAATCCAGGGTTATCCAGGCTTTCTCCAGCGCTTTCTATTCACAACAGGGCACAAACAAAATCCAAGAGTTGAACATGGACTGCACCATTCCAAAATGCCATGTGATGGGATTTCTACAGCTGATAAAGTGCAACTTGATGTTTTCATTATTCCTTCAAAGCAAGTAGCAGATCACATTAAGCTAAAAGCACTGAACTGGTTTCCTGTGTGTGACAAACACTTGAGAACGTATCCACTTCAAAACAGATTTTTTTCCCCCCGAAGTCGTGACAGGCTGAAATTGGAGAGAATTTGTTTTCCAACATATGAAAAACGCCAGAATTTTTAGATGTAGACCAATAATACAGATCAATTTAACATGACATCGTAATACACTATAATGATTCGCCTAATAAGCTACACAGATGAGCTCACTTAGCGTAATGCATAGGTTAAGCCAAAGTTAAGTTGAGTAAACTTGATGCAAATGGACAGAAAATAGCAGGTGACATAAGAAAAAGAAACAACGTTTTCCTTCCCCTCTTTCCCGCTCATTGACTGCTCTTTTTCAATACCTAATCACAGCTGACAGCCGACCGCCTCACGGTTCTGAGCGCTAGTTTAAGGACTGTCAGCACAACGGCCCAGGCTATCTGTCTACCGACTTCACCATAATGGCAGGAGCACCAAGCATCTGCTCGAACCTCATCAAAAATGAATTCGTCCATGTCCACCTCTTCTAAGTCCTCATCGCTTTCTGTGATCCGAGCAGCAGCTAGAGCACGGGCCAGCTTTTCCCGCAGAACGCAACCCCTCCATGCAGCCTGCAGGGGCAACACACACAGCCATGAATCACATGCAAGCATAAATATTGTGTGTTATCCCATTAGGAAGATAAAACATAATGCATAGGTTAAGCCAAAGTTAAGTTGAGTAAACTTGATGCAAATGGACAGAAAATAGCAGGTGACATAAGAAAAAGAAACAACGTTTTCCTTCCCCTCTTTCCCGCTCATTGACTGCTCTTTTTCAATACCTAATCACAGCTGACAGCCGACCGCCTCACGGTTCTGAGCGCTAGTTTAAGGACTGTCAGCACAACGGCCCAGGCTATCTGTCTACCGACTTCACCATAATGGCAGGAGCACCAAGCATCTGCTCGAACCTCATCAAAAATGAATTCGTCCATGTCCACCTCTTCTAAGTCCTCATCGCTTTCTGTGATCCGAGCAGCAGCTAGAGCACGGGCCAGCTTTTCCCGCAGAACGCAACCCCTCCATGCAGCCTGCAGGGGCAACACACACAGCCATGAATCACATGCAAGCATAAATATTGTGTGTTATCCCATTAGGAAGATAAAACATGTTAACCTCTGTTTAATTGCCCCGCGGTCTGCAGTTTGAACTTTTGGTGACTTTGGCTTTGTAAGACAAATGTAACACTGGGATGCCTTTAAATCTGCGTATACCCCGCGGGGAAAAAAAGACTTAACGGATCAGAACCCTAGCGCCCCCACTCCAGCGTCACGTTGGAATCTGATTAATCGTTTTTTTCTTTTGGTTCGAGTCCTTGGAGACTCATTAAACACAAAGAGAGAGAGACAATATCCCTTAGAAGTTACATGTGAAAGAAATAGCCTGTTTTTAAAAGCACTACCTACCGACTCAAAACAAGCCCTTGGCAGTAATAGGTGTAATGAAGATGATTTAATTTTATTCAAGTTATTTACTGCATTCATAAAAGGAGGCATGGAAAACACCTTTTCAGAGATATATCAAACATTCCATGATCAAAAACAAAGTGAACAGAGGATTTTTTTTGTGAAAGGAGCTAAAAAATGAGTCTCACCTGAATAACAACAGCAGCACGTTCCCTCTCAGGCCCCCCAATGCAGGTATCTTCCACCTTATGAAGATGTGATTTTGTGTTAGTTTTTTCAATTAAGCCTGGGAGGCCCTCACATCTCTGCAATGAGCATCTCCTCCACCAGCATCACTGGATCGCCACAGCTGCCACTCTGAGTGACAGCAGAGAAGACAATTTTATCTGATGACTCACCAAGGTCATGAGAGACTAAATGAATGTCACTGAACTCAAGTCTCGGATGATTCATCTGTGTTAAAACATCTGGAGAGAGACCCAGCAGGGGTGTAATGTCATCCAAATGATTTAGAGATGAGCTTTATTTTGATTACCTTTAGCTCAAATTAAATGTACCTTCAAATCACGGGAGATGTTTACTACATACAGAAATTAAATGTAAAAGTAAGAACATTTTGTGTGTGAGAGTCATACATTTTAAGTTTCAGTGTCTGAACAGGTTCCATCTCACTTTGTGTCTGCATGCAGTCAGCAGATCGTAGCTCAAGGTCAGCTTGAGAAAACTGAGTCTTTTTGTGTTTCTGCCAATCTGCTGTATCCCGGAGACGCATCTCTAGACTTTGTCTCTGTGATAAAGATGCTTCAGAATAACTACATGAACTACTGTTAGCCGCCAGTGTAGAATCCTCTGTGACACAGCTGTCGTCACATTCATGGGCGTAACGCTGGTCCACTGCCAATCTGAGCAGGTCTGCTTGGTGGCCAATGGCAAGTGAGGGTGCAGAACTGTGCGAAAAATGCAGGAAAAAAGCACAACATTTCAGATATTAGGAGCCGGAGCCATTCACATACAAAGCATTTTTGCATTCCACTTCACTGCTTGTAAACTTTCTATATAAACATGTGCTGGACAGACATGATTGGCCATAGTGATTGCGTCTTGTGTCTTTTGCAGCGTCTTGCACGTGACACTCCATTAAAAAAAGGTGGCGTTCAAGTTAAAAGAACTTCTTGTTTTAAAAACATTTTCTTTTTCATTCTGTGGCATTTTTTAAAATGTAAAATTGCAAGTTTGAATGACTCATTAGAATCTTGGTAACACTTTACCAAAAGGTCTCATTAGTTAACATTAGTTAATGCATTAATAACAATAAGCAATACATTTGTTACAGTATTTCTTAATCTTAACGTTAACTGATAAAAGTACTGTTCATTAGTAGTTCATGTTAACTCAATTCCATTAAATATTAAAAATGTTTAATAATGATTTTAATAATGTATTAGTAAATGTTCAAATTGACATTTAACATATGCTTGATGAATTATTTTTCATTGTTAGATCATGTTTACTAATGCAGTTAACTAATGTTAACAAATGGAATCTTATTGTAAAGTACTAGAACAGGCTCTCATACTAGGTTGTTCGAAAAACACATTATTTTTCACATATTTTACATTATTACAACACCTCTCTCCCCAGTCTGGCATGAACGGCTCGAATAGTTCCTGTATCAAATGAAGGCCCGCCTTCTGAAATACGAAATGCGCTGTGATTGGTTAGCTGGCGCAGTGTGTGTTGTGATTGGCAGCACTCGGCGCCTGGTCGGGAAATGTCACGCCCCTTACCATAGCCGCCTGCGAGCTTCAGTGTAAATATTGCATTAAAATCAAATTAATTTGAGCACGATTTAAACCTGGATGATTGTAACCACTTTAACCAGATGATTGTAATCACTAAGTTCGTCTGCTTTGGGAAAGCTAGCGTGTCTCCGACATAGTGATAACACTCGTTGCCTTCTTTAGTGCAGCTCAACCAGGTCTCGTCCCATTCGTCGATCTTTGTGATATCACAAATCCCGGAAAATGTGCGTTGTAGTCCAAACGAGTCGTTCGTTGTAGTTTTTGAAAAGTCTCCTTTTGAAGTGGACTTTGAACTTTGTAACTTTGCAGATCTGTTTTATGCTCAAACAGCAACATTACAGACTAACTAAAGTTGAAAAAGTGAAAAAGCATAATAGGACCCCTTTAAACTAGCCTTTACCACAGAAATCAGAACATTTCTTGCGAGATGTAAAACTGGCTTAAAATGAAGTTTTTCAGGAAGTTTCTACAAAGGTGTCTCAATCCTACTCTAATTATTCTATTAGCAGTGGCTGGTTCAGCCCCTCCTGCCCCTGACCCTTGAGCACGTCTTTGCTGTCAACATCAGAAACCAGCTCTGTCACTATAGAGTCCCTGCTATTCTAATCCTATGACACGGTTAAAGGGGCATCTGCACCCCTCCAACATACACTCTGTCCAGAATAGAGTCATAAAAAGAGCCTTGCAAGAGTCAAATGCAATGTACAATTGTACTGGGAAACAGTCGAAACATGTTGAAATTCAGTGCAAGGACAAAGATGTATAACAAAATGGCTAATTTGATTACCTCATTAAAACAAATTAATGTCAAATTGCATATACAGTCAGCAACGAACATTCCGAAAGCCAAACATTATTACAAGCTGTAAAAATCAAGCCAAGGCAAATAAATACAATCCTAGACGTTACACAGTTCCCCTACTTACTGACATCTGAAATTACCTCAAAGAAAAAACGGGAAAGAGTTTCTTTTTTTTAGATATTTTGAAGAACTTACGCAGCTTTTGCAGTAACACAACATATTTATGATTCAGTGGCATAAATTCCATTTTATTGCCGTGGTTTGATGACATTAAATGAACCCCTCAGTTCGGTCTGTCACTCTAATCAACACAGGCGTTGGTTTACCATTGTATCGCGGTCAGAGTCTTCACCTTGCCAAAGCTGGGGACTGACACTGGGTCAGGTCAGATGTTAAATGGCTGCAGCGGTCCCCGCGGGTGTGCAAAAGACCCTTTGTGCAGAACGCGCTGCGGAAGGGTTAGGGGGTATCTCTAAAGTCCCCCAAGCCATAAGAGACCTCAGTTTGAACCACAGGACACACAGACTTCTGCCAATCATGTTTCATGAAACATGGCGAGTGTTCTGCTTTATTTGCTGGTGGTCTGCAGCAGCGTCTGAGCGTTTTGTATCGAAAGAAGTGGATATATAATATTTTTTTGATATTCAGCATGAATAGGCTCAAAGAACTAATTATAAATTTCTACATACCACAAAATTTTGAAAATAATTAAACTCAGATTAAAATTTCTTTGCCGTACCACATATAAAAGATAAGTTATTTTTTAAATTATTTATTATTATAATAAATAAAAAAAATATTATTACAATTATTGATTTATTTAAATATTCATATTTTTTTGGCCTGGATTTTCAGATTCTCTGCAAAGATCCTCTGCATAACTTATGATTTGTTTTCATTTACCTACTATTCAAGTATGATTAAACTATAAACTAAATATTACAAGCATTTTGCATAATATACTACAGGATTTACATTTTCACCAACTGGATCTTTATTAATACTTTTGAGAAAAATTGAAACTGCTTGTCTACCTGATCTCCATCTTTTGCTGCTGGAGAAGTGAATCTCGTCGCTCTTGCTGTGCTTGACAGAGGGCCTGGAAACTCCACTGCTGTTCTGGACATTTACGGGGCACTGCGGCAGCAGCAGTCTGCTCATTATTCAACTTAATCAAGCCAGGCACTGTTTCCAAAAGCAAGGACCTGAGGGAAAACAGGCATTTACGAGAATTACCTGATGAAAATGTAAGGTGAAACAACCACACATTGTGCTCAAAGCTCTTTGAAATGATTGCTTTAATTGTTAGTGACTGTTTATTTTATAATGTATAACAAAGCTATAACAAAGTTTTAAAGCAAAGGTTTATAATTGCAAAAAAGATATTTAAAAAAAATAACTTTTAGTTTATGTATAAAAAGAATCTAGATTAAATATAAAGATGCAAAAAAAAAATAATTATACTTTAAATAGCTTCTTTTGCAAAACAATTAGCAGTTCAGAGCAATATGTAATGTTACTGCATTGACTGTCCACTGCAATCATAAAAAAGTCTCTCTGTCTCCATGGGCTTTCTATTGGAGAATATTTACATTGAGCAGATGAAATCACTTAGGAAACGGGGATAAAACGTTTAATGAGTTTGACATTCTGGACCCAAGAGAATCAACAGAGCGCCTGTGCATCGACTAAGAGGTTTAGTCAGAGTCTGCCTTTCTCAATGATGACACTCGGCTTGGATTAGAAGTGAAAAAGGGTTTGCTGGCCTCATTTCAGAGATGTGACGGCCACTCAAGTGAGCCCATGTTGTTGTTGTTTTTTGTTTTTTTGGTCTGTGTTTTAATTTGCAAAAGCATATGAGAAAACACAGATGTAGCCTAGTCTTTGCTGAACCCTGCTGAGAGAAGTACAATTGAAGAACCGATGAGTGTTAATGAGTGTTATATTCAGTAACAATTAAATTACTTAATATTTTTTGCAGTCACTAATTTTAATTAACTATTTTTTTGATCATTTATTATTATTTTTAAAAATAAATTTGAGCTTTTTTATCTCTTTGTTTTTATTATCATAATGAATACTTTTACTAATATAAAATATTTAAGAAAAATATATAACTTTTTTACAAAATTTTCTTTGTTATTATTTTTTACTTTAAAGACAGTATTTGTTCAAAAATAGTTTTTCAGTTGTGGTATATTAATATTCAGTTAATTGTAAAAGATACACTTGATGGTAAATAAAATGAAGTGTTGGCAAATTCTATCCAAGCTGATATTAACAAAAAAGAGGTCATCTCTAAAAGCCAAAAACTGCTTCACATTTACAAAGCAGGCATGGTCATGTGATACACTTTTGGCCATGTTGTGTCTGGCCGCCAGGCTCCTATTGCTACCAAAAAACTGACTCTATTCATTACTCATGAAAACTTCCCTGTAAACAAAAGAAACTTACAGGAGTTTGATTAATCTAGCTAAAGTCTCCTCTCCCAGACTCTGAACGCTCGTGCGCTGTGTACTTCTCTGAGATATCCTTCGGTTCTTTAATTTAGGCTGTGTTATCACTGGACGGGGATGAAAGGGCCAGCGGAGAGCGAGAAAAACACTGGGTCTAATTCCGTTGTTGGCATTGAAGGTTAGACAAAGTTCAGCGAAATACTGAGCCAGACTCGAGTGAACTTCCTATCCGTCATGTCATCTCTAATAATATTCCGTCATTACAGAATAAAACAGATGTAAAGACACAGCAGATATATTTCACCTCAAGACTTCTTTTTGGAAGCCACATGCAAAAAGTGGAAAATAAAGTTGAAAAAATAACTATTAAAATAAACAGCTAAAAATATCACACCACATTCAATTTTATAAGAAGTCAATTTAGTAAGACGTTTCTGTCAGAAAAATGAATGTGTTGCCAACATTAAACTTTTTAGGCCTTCTGAACTATAAACTCATGTCATGACAGTCAAGAAATCTCTTTGGTATGTATGATGTTATTTTTTTTCCATTTTGGCTGAATGGACTGGATTGCTTCTTGAGAAATGAATTCCAACATGGTTTTGTATTTTCCTGATCTTCTTATTCTGTCTCTCACACATTTTTTCTAGCACATAAGAACATACAATTTGCAAATTAAAAAACCCTCAGCTAACTGCTGGCACTTTAAGAGCACATTTGCTTAAAACATATTCCCCCACTGAGCAAATATTTTCAGAATTACGAGCACTTAAATCCACGTGCGTACAGATGTCACTGGATAATCCAATAGCGGACACAGATACAATGGCCGGTGCAGTGATATGGGCCGGAAGCTCAGCGGTAAAAAGGAATGTTTATTCTACTTTAAACGCCTGGTGCACTTCCAGCCAATGTCCCCATTCACATTAGTTTCACATTCTCGGACAATTATGAAATGCTTAGTGACTTTTGCTGGAATGCACACATGACAGCTTCTGCCCAATCCAAGATAAATCTCTCCATTATAAAAGGAGGAACCACATTTCCTTTATATACTAATATTCACTCTCAACAACAAAAATACTCCAGAATTTAGCTTAGTGCCAGTGAGAAACTGAAAAATTAACTTAACTGTCGATGTAAAAGGCCCTAAACTGGGTCCTTGGGTCACACCTACCTGCAGTTGCTTTCCTGCTGTAGTGGGTTACCAGTCAGGTTAAGTTCTTGAAGACTGGTGCATTCCTGAAGACAAACGTTCTGCAAATCTAAAAGGGAGTCAGAACAGAGATACTTAGAGAAACTTACAACTTGCAATTTACTCTGCGAATGGTTATAATTCTAATGCTTTGGATGCAATCCAAACGTTTTCCAAAAGCAACTATGGTCACAAGTTCCGTCGTTACCAATGGAGTTCAATGGAACTACCGACCATAGTTAGCTAACGATGCTTTTGGGAAACACGCCCCCGGTCTTAATTGAAGACACTCAAATACTATGATTAAATATTTTGGAAACGCTTTAGAATAGGGAACACATATTCACTATTAATTAAGAGATTTCCCTTTATAAACTACTAATTTGCTGCTTATTAATAATTAGTAAGTTATTTGTTAAGTTTAGGTGGGGGGTATGATTAAGGGATCTAAAATATAGTCAGGCAGAATAATAAGTACTAATAAATGGTCAGTATGCTAGTAATATGCATGATAATAAGCAGCTATTTAACAGTGAGAATTGGTCCTTAAAACAAAGTGTTATCAATATTTCTATGAATTAGTATACACAAAAACTGTTATTCTCAATGGTACTTTAAGGAACAGTACACTAAAAAAATGTATAGTCATTATTGACTTATGTCATTCAAAACTTGATTGTTTCTATTTTTTTCAGTGGAACACAAAAATAGAATTTTGAAAAATATTTATGTTTCTTAAAAAAATCTATGCAGCTCTATTCCATATAACAATAATATATAGTGTCCATTTGACTTGCACTATAGTCATCTTCTGAGGTCATCTGAAGTTTAATAATAATTATGTGTGATGAAAAGAAAATTTTATTGGAAAAAAATTGGATTTTCCATTTAATTGGATTATCCATCCATATTCAAGAATAAAGAAAGTGATGGGGGTTGAGGGTTCAAGAAAGTGAACCCTCATTTTAAACAATAAAATATCTTAGCACTGTATATACTTGTAGGTTTTTATATTACATTTTACATAAGAACGTACTGCATTTAAACAAAGGCTTAAAGACTTTACCCTTTAGTAGAATTTAACTGTAAGACAGTGTTAAGTTCAAAAAACAAATTGGAAGAGACTCAAAACATTGTGAGCTGCTAGCCTAGACAACACCTGCAGTATGATGTCCTAGGTAGGCAGCTCACTAGGTTTTGAGAGATAGCTATTCTCCATTGAGGTCTACCTGTTATGGGACACAGAGAGGTTTTGGAGCAAAGGCAGCCAATAGGATTCCAGATCATCAACAGAAGATAGAAGATTGTCATCCAGGTACAGGTCCCTCAGAAGAATGTGGTTCTGCAGGACAGGCAGCTATGCCACAGGCCCGGAAATAAAAACAACAATTCCCTCTTGACCAGGTGATCACACATAAAGTCATTCTTTCTGTTCCAACCATGAATGTCCCATGAGCTGAAATGGGTGGAAACTCATGCCTCATCATGAACATGACTAATATACAAACGTTAAGCACAACAGATAATTCGATAATTCAGTTAAAGTGATGGCAGCCCAGGATTGCAGTCTAACAGATGAGCATTTTTTTTATTGGTATCATGTAATGAACACTGTCAAGTTACGCATTTTCTGGACACTGGGATGGAAATATGTTCCTAAATAAATAAATAAAAAGTGGTGAAAAGTCTATGATTTCAGTCGGGCTAATTAGAATAAGAACATAAACAGTTCTCGAATACTGACAAAACATCAAAGTAATGGAAAATTGTGATTAATCAATATGATCTTGAGATTACTGCTGAAGACATGATAAGTCATGATCTCATCTTTCAACTTGTTTGTTTCTTTGGTTGTGTAAGATTTACCTCAGTCAGACTGTTTCCTCTGAGGTCCAGTGTGTTAAGCTCCAAACCCTCAACGTGGCTTAGGTGGTTGTACGAACAGTCCAGATGGAGAAGGGTATAAATTTCGTTCAAACCTCTTATGCTGAGCAGCTGGTTATGGTCCACTGATAATCGCAGAAGCATTTTCAGGGGTCCTAAACCACCTAAGAAAGCAAAGATATATCATTTAGTCAATGCTGGTGTAGAAGGAGTGTATGAAGATAATTCTAGGCCATGGTGACAATATCTAATACCAGCCAAAGGATAATCTAATATAAAAAGGCAGCACTGGCAGGACATCATCTAACACTGACAGCAAATACCTTTAAACTGCATTTATCCTTTTCTTTATGATACATTTATTCATATTTATTCAATATGAGGCCATTTTCTTAGAAATGAGACACATCAAGACATATTTTAAGAGCAGAGTGAGGGCAAAAGGCCATTCGAAGACACCAAACTGGAACAATGGTGCCCTCTTCTGGATAATGACAACGTTGAGCATTAGATACTAATTCTGTGTCACACATGAGATCCAGATATCTTCAACTCACCAACAATCAGCATCTCTTTCTTGAGTGCTTTCAGTGCAAAATACATAAAACATCACTTATGCGAAAGATGTTGTTGTGTGAGAGCTGAAGAATTTGCAGGTTTTCAGCTCCATCAAGACCATGGATGTTCATCAGTTGGTTCCTGTCCAGAAGGAGGACCTGAAGGTTGGCCAGACCGCCACAATCCACATAAGTAATTGAGTTCTCCTTAATGTAAGAAACAATGGTACCATGCATTACAGTTCAAACTTTTGGGGTGAGAATGTTCTTTAAGTAATTAATACTTTTATTTAGCAAGGATGCATTAAAATGTATTAAAAGTGCGGTACAGACTTTCATAATGTTACAAATTATTTCTATTTTAAATAAATACTGCTCTTTTAAACCTTCTATTTATCAAAGAATCCTGAAAAAATTGGGGCAAAAAACTGTTTTCAACATTTATAATAAGGAAACCTGTTTCTTAAGCACAAAATTAGTGCATAAGAATGATTTCTGAAGAAGCATGTGACACTGAAGACTGGAATAATGGCTTCTATAAAAATTTAACTTTGCCCTCACATGAATATTTTATATTTAAAAATAAATTTAAGATGTAAAACAGTTATTTCATTTGTAATGATATAATTGTAATAATTTCACAATATTTCTAATTTTCTGTGTTTTTAATCAAATACTGTAAATGCAACCTTAGTGAGTATAAGAGACCTCTTTCAAAAACTTTCTTTTTTTTTTTAAATCTAAACTTTTTAATGGTAGTGTATACTGTATAGCATGCATAACGGACCATTTTACTAGAAAGTTTGAAAATAACGCGCATAATGCATTGGATAGTTTGTTCTTTCTTACTTGTACATCAATATATCTGATCTGAGAGCACTGGTTCAATCCATCCAAAGAAGTGAGGCCGCAGCGTCTAAGGGTCAAAGTCTGCAGTTTGTTACACTCGGACAGTGTGGACAGGCTACATCCTGGTAGGTCTTCCAGCGTCACTGTCGTAACCTGATTTTTTACAAGACAATTACAATAAAGCCAGCATGAACATGTCACAGCCAAGAAATGGGCTTTCACGTTTAATTTATACCTGTTTGAGAGAGCTCCAAGCTCCTGTTTTGAGAATAGTGTCCACAGACAGAGAGGGTAAGCTGGGGACTCTTCTTTTTCTTGGGCCTCTTTTTTTGGACTGCTGTTGTGCAGAAGACCCCTTCCTTTTATTCTGCAATGATAGTTTGGACCAGGGAGTGCAGCTCATCATCCAGGCCTGTCGCTTCTGCTCTGTGCTGTCAGGCAGACAGACACATTTAAATTGATTCTTGGCTTTTTGATTTATGGTCCTCAAGCTCAAAAGCGGTAGTATTTTGATGCCCCCTTGTGTCCATCTCAGGTGCTACAACAGCCAAATCAGAAGCTTGTACAGTCAAGTCTGTATTTCCTTTAACACTTAGATGATCTGCAACACTCGAGGAACCCACTGGACTAATACCAAGGTCACTGGAGAGACCTTGATGTACATTTATGTGTGACTCTGTAGTGGTTTTGGTCATTTTAATGCTTTTTCTTGACTGTGAGAGATTTACCTGAGAGTCAAGCTCTCCACTGCTTTCAACTGTTTTTTCTTCTTCATGGTTCTTTATTCTGTCTTTATCACTCTTCATTTGTGGTCTTATATAATCGAATCTTTCAGTGTCTTCTGTGTTTATGCTTTTAGGTTTGTCCTGTTTTTTCATCATTTTGCTGTCGTCATCCACTGTGTTTTCCATTTTCTTCTCATGCCTGATTCTTTCATTATTAGCTTCTATTTTTCTCACATTTACCTCATTTTCTTTGTTCTCCTGTTCCCCTCTTTCCTCCTCTCTTTTACATTCATCCTTCACCTGACTACTTCTTTCCATTTTTGTTCTTTCCTTTTCTTTATTCTTCTTGTCTACATCCTCTTCCTGTCTTCTGCGATCATCCTTTACACTTGTAATGTTGTTCTGCTTTTCCTTCTTCTGCATTTTCTTCCTTTTCTCATCTTCCTCTTCTGTTGTTCAAGTCTTTGCTCCTTCTCCAGACGATGGCACTCTTGTTCTTTAGCTTTCATAATCTGCTCTGCGTCTCTCCATCTCCTCCCTCTAAGCGCACTCTTCTTCCACAATCCTGTTCTCTCTCCTTCTTCAGCTTCTTCCATTCCCTCTTCTCCTCCTCAAGTCTCCTCTCCTCTTCTTTCTTTCTCCTACACTCTGTTTTGCTCCAGAGGCGCACTAATGTTCCTCTGAGAGCAGCTTGAACCTTTGTTGCTGCTATGCAATGAAGTTTTTGGGTTCTCATTCTCTCCTCCTGAGCCTTCTCAAAAGCCTGTTTTTCCTCCTCCATTTGCTCCTGAAGTTTCCTTATTAACATCTAAAGTTATTATTGACTGAAACACTTACTTCAGTAGATATTTATGAGGTGATATATAAGGTTATAGGAGAATAAGGTTAAAATCAAAATTAATATAATATAATATAATATATAATATATAATAATTTAACTTATACACATTGTAAACAAAATTGGTGTAGAATTTACTTTACTTGTGTATGTTAACAAATTTCACTCAGAAATTGCTAGTAAACTAATTACTGACTCAAGATTGAAATAGTATTTTCTTGTAAATTGTACTCCAATAATTTTTATTTTATTTACAACTTTGAAAAAATATTTCTCACATTATACATTCAACAAATTGTCTCATTTTTGTATGTTCCATTTTTTTTACACAATACACCAACTCTGTTCATATATTTACAAATATTTATTTTTATACAAATATTTATTTTTTATTCTTATTTAGTCTTCATTTTTGTATGCTTGCACATCCTCAACAATATTAGGCATATTTAAAGTCACCTGCTGTTTATCCAGCTCCAGCTGAAGATCTTCTGTGCGGTGAACTTCGTTTTTCATTCCAACGTTCTGTTATGAATTTCGATTTTGTGATTCAATCATCTTTACTTCTAATTTTAACATATATATTTTTAAAGTGCTAAAGACAATCTTACCAGAGTGGCCTCCTCTATTTTTTTCAACTCCTCCTCAAACTTTATAGGTGATATACTTCTCCTCTCTTCTTCTCTTTCTGAGTTCAAATGCAGCTCTCTTTCTACCTCCTGTGCTGCTCATTTCTGCTCCTCTTCCTTTCTTAGTCTTTTCTCTAATTCTTTCCACTCAAGACTAATTTGAAGATCACTCTCAGTGCATACATCATCTAAAAACAGAGTAAAGGTATAATTCTGTGAATATAAAGAGGCTAATTAGCAATCTATGCAAAACCATTGCAGAATTAGTTTTTATATTTTTGCATATTCAATGGCAGCATAATCTATGTTTTAACTAGTTTTAATAAACTTAAAATACAGGCCCATCTCATTACAGAAAATATACCTTCCATGCCTGACATATTCGGAATCTCCCGCTGGGCATTCTGTGGCACAATGTCTTTTAGATGGCCAACTTGTTCCACTAATTCAGAGATAACCTGACAAAAACATATGCATTTTTATAATCATACACTAACAAAAATGCAATACACCATCTGAGGAGTATGCTGCATGTCTGAGGGTAAATAAGGGTAATTAACAGCCTTTAATTTAAGGGAGAATTTAAAGCCTAAATTCATATTGACTGAACTTTAATGGACAAACTTGCAAGCAAATATCCGTACTCATGAAAGAATCTGGGTGTTGTTTTTGATTCAGAGTTAAAATTCGACAAGCAAATAAACTCCGTTTTTTTTCCAGCTTAGGGGTTTACGGAAACTGAAATCTTTTCTATCTTTTAGTGATCTAGAGACAGTTATTCATGCCTTCATTTCAACAAGGCTTGATTATTGTAATGCTTTATATGCTGGTGTCAACCAGTTTTCCCTTTCTCGTTTGCAACTGGTTCAAAATGCTGCAGCCCGCTTCTTAATGGGGAAGAAAAAGAGGGAGCATATCACCCCTATTTTAGCACATTTACATTGGCTACCAGTTAAATTAAGAATTGAGTACAAGGTTTTAACTTTTGTGTTTAAAGCCTTGCATGGTCTGGCTCCAGTCTACATCTCAGACCTTATTTGTCCATACTCACCCCGGAGATCTCTTAGATCATCCTCTGATAATCTATTAACCATCCCATTGTCTCGTTTGAAATCTAAAGGTGACAGAGCCTTTTCTGTATTAGCCCCTAAGCTGTGGAATTCGTTACCTCAATCTGTTAGGTTATCATCTTCTTTATCTGCATTTAAATCATCATTGAAAAGTATCTCTTCTCGCAGGCCTATTTATAATTTGTTGGATATGTTGATCTTAGTGAGTTCAATTCTTATTCCTGATTTTTATTTGGTTTTATGGGTTAAGATTTCAATTTTAAACTCATTGTATTGTGTTACTGTGACGCACCTTGGTCAGCATTAATGTTGTTTAAAGGTGCTATATAAATAAAGATGACCTTGACCTTGACATCTGTAAACATTTCCTTCAGCATGTCAGAAAAGAAAAACTTGCTAAAATTATAATTCAGCTGTGCCTGTAATTTGTCTTTGTTTTGTCCTTTATTTACTGTCTTTGAAGATAAAACTATAAATTTGTCTTAAACATAGAAAATCTTTTTTTTTTTTATCTGCTCCCAACAGAGCTGCCTTCTTTGCTGCCCATCATTGAGGTGGCCGAGGCCCTGCTTCACGTGCGGAACGGAGAGTGGTTCCTGTGCCTGCTGGTGGCAAATGTCCCAGACAGCTTCAGTGAGGGTATGTCCATCATCTGCTGAAATATTCAACAAATATTGAATTTAAAACAGTTAAAAATGTAACTTTTAATCCATTCACTTTCCTCTCCTTTAAAGAACATGAAATCAACACTAATTAGATGTACTTTTTAATTACAAGTGCCTGGCCTTACTGTGCACATTTCATCAGACATGCTCATTTAGAAATATTCCACATTATGAACATTTACTGAATTGTGAATTCACTTTAAAATAGTTGCATTCAGGTGTTTCTGGGTTTTGGATCAGGGATATCTACAATTGTTTTCGTTTTAGCATACCAAAGTATAATATATTTCTTTTTTCTTCATTGACTAAAAAGCCACATGAAACTCAGTTTTACTTTACATTTTATCTGCCTTTTGTGGCCGTTGCGTGATCATCTGAGAGGCACTGAATTTCCATTTTGATGAGTTTGGCTGCTGATTATGTGCAGTTTGGGCATGGGTGTGTATGTGGGTTTTCCACAGAGATGCTCTAAGTGGTAATAAAAACATTTCTGAGTCTCTGCTATCTTTTCATCACTCCCAGGTCCTTGTTGAGTCAATAGCTTATTTGTGTGAGGCTCCATTCAGAGCCAGTTTGAAATGTTTCTTATTATTGAATGGCCAATTCTCAAGTCTCATTACCTAGACAGGATCTTTCATCGGGAGAATATTCCACTCAAGGCTGAATAATTTTAGGGAAAGAGCTTGTCTATAGAGACACATTGTAATCAGATGCAGCATGAATTGTGACGGACTCAGCTGCGTTTTCTCTCAATCAGCCATTTTTTTTCATATGGGGCTATTGAAACTAATATCATTCCAGCACTCAGTCATAAAAGATTCTCTGTAATTCTAATCATTCTGCATGGCAAAATGTCATTGAGTACAAGGTTTTAACTTTTGTGTTTAAAGCCTTGCATGGTCCAGTCTACATCTCAGACCTTATTTGTCCATACTCACCCCGGAGATCTCTTAGATCATCCTCTGATAATCTATTAAGCGTCCCATTGTCTCGTTTGAAATCTAAAGGTGACAGAGCCTTTTCTGTATTAGCCCCTAAGCCGTGGAATTCGTTACCTCAGTCTGTTAGGTTATCATCTTCTTTATCTGCATTTAGATCATCATTGAAAACGTATCTCTTTTCGCAGGCCTATTTATAATTTGTTGGATATGTTGGTCTTAGTGAGTTAAATTCTTATTCCTGATTTTTATTTGGTTGTATGGGTTAAGCTGTTGATTTAAATTTGAACTTTAAATTGTATTTTTATCATTGTATTGTGTTACTGTGAAGCACCTTGGTCAGCATTCATGTTGTTTAAAGGTGCTATATAAATAAAGATGACCTTGACCCATTTATTTGTATTTTTGTATGTTGAATTAAAATATTTCTATCTAAAGCTACTTATATTTCAGCTACTTTTCTGTAATGTCTATTCAGTGTTTTTTTTTCTAAATGAACACAATAACTATTATCTTTAATAATAACTATCTTTAATTGGCACATGATGTTCATGTTAATTAATTGATCTCATTAATTTGAGATTAATTTGATTAATTGGTACATTAATTAATTAGATTATTTTTTTAAATAATCACTTGACAGCATAAAAAATTTAAAACATAAAAAAATCATTTTGAGAAGGATGTAGGTTTAATTTCATCAGCTCCTCGTCTATTGCCTGTTTGATGTCATTCATCATTAGTCCGGGATCAAGTAAACCAACTCCCTGGGAAAACGAAAGGTTTTCGAGTGCGAAGCAAAGGCGCAAATTTGCAAATGAAGCAAACTATATCTATGTACCGGTAATAGCAACGGTATAAAAAATGATGTACACAGAAAAGCATGTCACAAGTATTTAACAAACACTTCGTCTTTCTGACTCTGCCTTTATTTGATGCAAAGCACCTGCTTCTCTGTTTACCTCATGTTTGTACATTCGATGCGAACCGTAGTTGCTATGGAAAAAAAGTGTACAGAGTGGCGTGAGGAACAAACTTCATGAAGAACCCTTGTGCTGTGCCAGGTTAAATATTTGCGGGATGCACGTCTTTCAAATGTTTTAATCAATTTATGATTACATTTTGATATAGATAAATAAGAAACTAAGTAAGTAATTAAATGTAGAGAACTAAATGAAAAATCGTAAACAAAATAGCAAAATACACATTTTAACAACTGTTTTTAAAAAACATTTGTTTGTTTGTTTTTACTGAACCACATTTGTTTGAGTTATTAACTGGGCAGTTATTTCCAGCACACATTATTGTTTATATTTGTCGCCCCCTAGTGGCCACATAGTTAAAAGCATTCCCTAATGGTGGCGTGGAGCATTAGTACACACAAATTGAAACAAGACCAGCCATTAAATTGAAAAATAGTATTTTGTGGTTAGCAACTATCAGGCACAAACTGATTTCAAAAGGAGGCTGAGATTAATCATTTGATGCACTAGCAGAATCATTTCTCCTCTCTCTACAACACAGTAAGTTGGCTATTCTGTAATTTATTTCTGGACTAGACTAATGTTGATGTTTTGTAGTTTTATTGATAAGGTCTACTGAGTCTGACCAGCTTCTCACTGCAATAAGTTGTGACAGACTGTGTTTTTTATTTACATTATTCATTTGGCATGCAGTCTTTTTTATTCAAAGCATTCAACTACATATTTTATTCCCTGAACATGGCACAATTTTTTATTATCAGTTCCTCTGAGTGCCTGCTGGAGTCAGCTTCTGAAGTCAAATCAACTGTCCGTGTTTCATCAGATCCCAAAGAAGCATTCACCAAGTTAAATTGCTCATAAAGGCCCCATCAGCAAGCCTTGTCCGCTTCAATTAGCGGAGAGTGGCATCGACCTTTGTTAGTGGGCAAGGTGTCCGGAGCTTTTGTCTGAGAGCATGGAACCCAGACAGAGACTAGACAGGCAGTGGCTGCAGATTTACACTGCAGATTATGGCAGTCAAAGCCTGTTCTGCTCTGAACAGAGCTCAAGTTTGGATAGTGTCCCTGTGTTTATACTGTAAAGGGTTTTCTGTTACTGGTCTGTTGCTCTTCAAGCTGATTGTTTCCATTCATTCGTTCAGAGTGGGTGAGAGGGAGAGAAAGAACTTGTTGAATAAAAGGCAGCTTCGGATCTGGGCTGCTATCTGTGATCGTGGATTCTTCCTTATGGGCTACTATTATAAACCACATAAAACAACCCTCTAGTTTGTTACAGCAGGATCTTTAAAAAGAGTAAAGTCCTTTTGTGCACATCACAGTAAAATGGCCAATAGCAGTAATATATCCCATTTGAATCCTTTGTCAGCCACCTGTAGCTATTCTCACCAAAGAATACATGTTTTTTCCTAAATATGTAAACTTGACTGTTACAATATCATATTAGCACTCAAAGTTTAGGGAAAATACCTGTAAGTTGTGTGAATCAGGGTTAACTACAAAAACCTTAAAAATGTTTTTACTTAAAATACCATATCTATCTATATATATATATATATATATATATATACACATACACACACCATACATACAGTATATATAAACTATTATTATTATTATTAATAGAATTTTCATCTAATGTTGTTTTCCACCTCCCTACATACTGCATGTAAGAACTGGACAAACTAAAAAAAGAACATTAAATGGAATTAACAAAATCACAAGTAATATATTAAGTTGCTAAACTCAATTAATTCTGCTTAATCTTTAAAAAATTACATGTAATAACTTTCTTGGAACTTCTAATTCTATGTTAACCAAAATAGTCATTTTTTCTAGGTTTGCACAGGTGTCCCTTTTAACCCTGTCACTGCAATTTCCATATTCCATTTCATATGTGAATGTTCCAGTTTTCAAAGTCAAACTTACTGATATAAAATCTTGTTGTATGTTGTATCTCTGTATTTCCTTTCAGTTTCATTCTCAACCTTCTGATTATTCCATAACTAGATTGAACCCAAAGGCACAGGCCAAAATTCCTGAGAAAGAAGACTTTAGGACCACACTGAAATTAATCCCCTCATTGTCAAACATCTCCGAGAGCTTGTGAAGGCACCGCTGTCCACTCCAATTCCCACATTAATTCGATTATCTTGGAACATGGACAGTTAAGATATGACAAAAGGTATCGGACAGAGGGAGATAAAAAAGGGAGATAGAAAAAAAAAAAAGAAAAAAAAAAAAAAGAGTATTATCCACCTTTTTTCATCAGGATAAAGGTAACTACAGCATGGGTGGGTTTCAGCAATGCTATGTGAAAAGTGTCAGACTACATTAAATACTAAATCACTCAAGGGTCTTGTGAAAAGCCTCCTATGTTCTTGTGATTGCTGGACACTCATTCAGTCCAGGACTCTTTTAAATATTTTTTAAAGATGGATATTTAAAAATCTAGAGCTGAATACTATAAATTATCACAATGATACACAGATAATTAATTAAACTATTCAACTCAAAATATTGTATTTTGATTGCTCCACAAGTAAGCCAACAAATTTACCATCTGGTATTGATGGGGAAAAAATAGAGCAAAACTTGTGACAGCAGCAAAGCATTGTGTTACCTAATTCATGGCGTAGTTAGCACATTAACTATTTAACAGTTAGGTAGAACAACCTGCCATCTGTGACTGACTGGTGTGTGTTTGTTATCATCACATGCTGGAAACATTCTCAAAATAATGCCCCGGACAAGAGCCATTGGGAGATGTATAATGGATGCATGTATAATGCATGATTCCGATGCAGTGATATTTCAATATTTTAGATTTAGTTCTACTAGTCCATTGAGACGTATGTAGCATAGTTAGCTTTATGTTTCATCTAATTATGTCATGGATTAAACCTCATCACCAATGGAAATTGCTCCTGTGGCTCATCGCAATGTGCTGAGTGCAATGCAACGTCACACTAAAGTTCCGGGAACATCTAACATTATGATCACCTCCAGCTATCAGCAGAGGACAATCACATGTCACAAACAGCCATTAGCCTACTGGGAACAACAAAGCCCTTTATTACTTAAAAATTATTTACATGTTTTCCAATTAGCATATACTACGTATAGGCTATCAGAGTCACTTTCCAGAACTTTCACACTCACTGTTCCTCAATGGTGGGAGTGACTAAAAACCTTTAAAGGGGTCATATGATGTTGCTAAAAAGAACATTATTTTGTGTATTTGGTGTAATGAAATGTGTTTATGCAGTTTAAGGTTCAAAAAACACATAATTTTCCACATACTGTACATTATTGTTTCTCCTCTATGCCCCGCCTTTCTGAAACGCGTCGATTTTTACAAAGCTCATCGGTCTGAAAAAGCGAGGTGTGCTCTGATTGGCCAGCTATCCAGTGCGTTGTGATTGGCCGAATTCCTCAAGCGTGTGATGGAAATGTTACGTCCCTACTATATTGTGATGCCTGTGGCAACCACATGTGACGACCCCGGGATGGACTCCGCTTCGTCCACGGTGAAAGCTGATCCGATTTCCTCAGCGACCAGCACGGATCAGCTCCAGGCATGACGGGCTGACTCTTAACTTTTATAAAGAATATCTCTTTGGATTTGAGACTTTAGTCTTTGCAACTTTACAGATCTTCTTTATGCACCAAGAGCTTGTAACACTCCAAAAAGAAAGGAAAAATTGAAATCGCATCATATGACCACTTTAAGAAATGCACAATTTTCTGCAAGCACTTGATCCACATCCGGCAGACACATTTTCTTTTTTTTCCTTTCTTTTTTTCTATTATACAAGTTCAAATAAACACATTTTAGGAACAAGCTCTTAAAATTAAAAAAGGGCCTTTCCCACAAGGAAAAACTATGAAGGCTGCTCATTTTTTTTTTCTGATAAATACTTAAGTCATGCAAGGTATGGCAATCTATTTAATTTACAATGTAAATATCACTGTTATAGCGCACCCTTTTGCTAAACAGCATCAAACTTTGCAGGCTTCCACAAGTTCTTAAAATAAGTATACTGAGTTTTATGGGAATATTTATATTTTTACTTTTTTATTCATTTATTTGAGTTAATTAGTTTTACTTAAAATAGCGCATGCATTCATTGGCCAACATAGGAGCCACGTTGATCTCAAACTTGTTTTTGAATTCTAATCTTTCTGCAAGATTTATTGAGCTCGGGTACAATCCTAGGATTAGTCCGCAAAATGTGTTTTTCAAAAATTCAAAATTTATGACCGAAAATAATGTGAGATTAGAACATGAGCCAAGGAATCATATATAAAACACCTAGCCTATTTTTATTACTAGTTGCCCATCAATTGTAACCAAGAAGTCTCAATTATTAGGCTAAGTCATTTTGTTTTCTTTATAGCGCCATTTATTTCCTGAAGAGGCGCGCGTTTCAGACCTTTATTCCAAACTTTACATGTATACAATTTACAGTTTTATCTGTAGCCTATATCCAGTTTTAAGACAAAACAAAAGACATAATAAGATTCCAGACAAAACTGCAGCGTTCCCAGCACGTCGTTATTGGACTCACATAAGTCTGTGTCATTATCTGAGATTTTAGCCATTATTGTAAAGCTGATGTAAGATTTCCAAGCACGAGGTTACAATACCGGTACACCCCTAAAAACCAGCTTGTGGGCGCTCTAGTGGGTTGTACCACTCGGTTTCATTTAATGGGGGGGGGATTTAGATTTAAAATCATTTTACAAACATAACGAACGCAATTTAAAGCAAAATGCGATGTAATACTGTCATATTATTTGATGTGTTCAAATATATTATATTAATAGCCTACACAAGACACGCCTAGTTCAGTTCTTCGGGGAACTCAAATCAGTTTCCTCTACAATCTCCTGTGGGTCGAACGATACGGATAGACAGAAGACTAGAGCATCTGCGCCTCCTGCATCATTTACATCAGATTGTGTATGAGCTGTACTTCCATGTCCAAACCATCGAATATAAACCGCCTGCAAGTCAAAACAGTCCATTTTAAAACCTAAGCTCATCTCCTTTTGATTCGTTATAAGGTAAGTTGATTTTTTTTCTATTCTATTGTGCTTATTTAACATACGGTATGAGGAGGAGAGAACGGCTGCGCAATTACATGCAGTGAATGATGAAACCTCGCACATGGGTGACATAGTAAATTTGGGGC